ATCATGGGATACTTCGTAGACGACGCCTTGTTGCCCTGCAAGTGGAGGTACATCTAAATGAATGGAGAGACCAGATAAAATCGTGTATCCCTGTTTCGAGATTTCCTTCGTTTGAAGCCGCCTCTTTTCTCTTGGCGACTGGCATTTAAATCGAGAATCATTGAGGACGAAGGAGGGGGTGCTGCCAATTAATGAGGCGGTCCAGACACACCATCCCGGGTCTCCCCCCCCCCCCCCAATATCATCTTTAACCAGGAACAAGAAGAAAAGGATATTCACATATGTCCTGGTTCTGATATTCTAGATCGACATGTAATGGATCGATCTTCGTGGAAACAAACTGTCATCGCTACAATATCCCTCAGTCCGTTGCCCGGATACGCCTGAGTCAAGGTTTCGCCATGTGAAGGGAGAATACGAGTCGATAATTCCGTCTCTACAATGACTTGGAGCACGAAGTTAAATCAGTAGTTCACTCCCTAGGCCCTTGGAGATTCAAACGCCTCTTTTGGCTGTCCCCAGTGGTCTTCGCATTCGCATTGTAGGTGGCGACAAACTATCATTGACTTGGGCAGGCAAGGACGGCACTTTCTGGTTAACGCAGTACCGAGGTGTTAGCACAGTGTCATCAATTTTAAGCAAAAAATTAGTGAGTGGAGGCACTACTTCGTAATCTACGCTTTCCGATCTCTCGCGATAAACGGACTAATCTTGACGACTACATCTGGTTCCTCTTGGAGTCGGTCGATATGTCCAGAGACCGGAAGATGGCTGGCCTGTCCTGGCTCCTCAGCTCCACTCCTCGACGGCATGCAGTGAAATCATCAAATCGATTTAGTAATGAACCACCGCCTGGTTTTACTGGAAACTTTCATTAACACATGCTCTCTTTTCTGTGGTACACTAACACCTCGTACATACATACTGTGGACGCTGCATGGCTGAACTGCGCTTAACCCTATTGAAATTTAGAGCAGCTTGCTGGGCAATGCCTCCCATTAGGCGCTAACCCGTAAGAGTCGATCAAATCTTGATTACCATGCGAGTGTTGTGATTGACATGAGGCTGGAGGGAGCAAGTTGAATTGGTTTGAGTGGCGTAGTTCATGCTTTCCGGCAAGCTGGGTGATCTTGCGTGTCAATTGTCCTTCCCTCTTTTGTCTTGCTAGGGTCGGCGACTAAGAGGAAGCCGAGAAGCGAAAAGGCGAGGCTCCTCAAGTATCAACCAACACGCTGAATTTGAAGGGGGGGATTAAGATGCGAGAATGAGATGCTTGACAAAAGAGGAGATGCAGTACTTCGTAGACATGCTGCCATCGATACATGCGTTTTGTTACTTGAGAATTAAATATTACCAAACCGCGTGAAAATTGCCCTTTGGATGGGAGAGAGAGATCAATGAGGGTCAACCATGCACTTCTCCTTCCCGCTTCCGCCCGCACTGCACAGGCAGTACCAGCATCCCATGATAGGCAGAACCACCAATTTGTTCTCTATCCAACAAACAAGGTTATCTACCTCGTACAAGTACTAGTCGGGGTATGGCGAGCTCAAGTTCTGAAGGGAACAACCCTGCGACACCGAACTTATACGGCGATTTAGTGGAGTAATCAACACACACCGGACTGCTAGGAAGCAAGAGCCAAGTCCGCTACCACTGCCAGGACCACATTGTGACCTGTACGATCGCCACGACTGTGACGGACTGAAGTCCATTGGCTTGGGCAATTGGAAGCTATAACTGATAGCTTTTTTCGTAAGGGGCATTTTCTCCGTCCCTTGTCCCTTGCCTCCAAATTCAATGCTGATCTCCTGCGATGAAGTAGTTGATCCCATTATCTTGGCCCTGGGCCTAGTAAATGAAGCTTAACCATCTCGGTGTGAAACGTCCCATCAATATCATTGTACGAAGTAATTACTTGTACATGTTAGACAATAGAACAATCTATTAAGAGGCGTGTCTATTATAGTATTTCAATGTTGGTTCGTTGGGAGGTAGCGGTGCCGTCCGGCCTTCGACACTGCCTGGCTCTACATCGTGGACACTGATACCGTCCGCTACAACCTCGATTGACAGCAGGCCCTTCCCAATACGACTGCGCTGTTATAGGCTTATCCGAACAACGAATAGGAGGGCTGGTCTATTATAGGCTGGGATAAAAACCCCACCGAAACATCTGCGGAGAGTACTCAAGTCAAGTACCTGTGGTGGGAGCTGCAGTGGATACCTTCTCGTTCCCCCTCGTGGGTATTATCACTTCTGTCCCGCGGCTTCCATTGTCTCAATCCCTGTCCCCAGTCCGCTCTTTTTGTGGCAGCAACCCAACACACAAGACAGCCCCAAGTTCTTTCCAGGATTGCCACCATTTTGTACACTGCTTTGTACTCTATTGCTCGATGCCCACTTGACCGGTCTGTAGTGTACTGAGGTACACTATGAACTGATGTACGAAGTACAATGTACTCTCCACTGCACTAGTACTTCGTACGGCCAGGCGCTCTCTATTCTAAACAGGTCCCAAGTTGCTCCTCCAACTTCTTATTTGAGTCAAGTACAATCCGGTGACTCGCTTGCCTATTTTGTTTCCTTCCTAAGTGGCAGTAGCACCTGTGTATTTTGATCATATCCTCTTGCCCTTCTGCGAGGTACTTGTCCACTGTATTCGACCCTTAGGATGGGCCTGCCAACAGCAATTGGTCGTCCCCGCCAATTCAAAGCTTTCCAGAGCAAGCCACGCCGGGTTAGACCAGTCGAGCTCCTTCTCTTTCATTTATTTCCCCCCTCCAGAGGAAATTCCATCTGAACCCTGCTGGACTCGGTTTTTCCTCTTTTCTGTTTCTCTCCATTGTCTCTGCACTGCGATCGTAACACTACGAAGTAGAAACAGAACCCATTTTGGTAGACTCGTCGAATTTCTTTGAGGACCTTGTTGTCTCTTGTGGTTTCCTCTGTTACCAGACAGGACAACACCAAAGGACGGCACATACTAACACAGTTGTTGGGACCAAGGCAATGCGTCCGAGGAAATTAACAGAATCTGTCACATTTCCTCCCTCTGCCTCTCTCTGTCACTCTCATAGTTCCCATTCATCACTTACCAGTTATACACAGCTCCTCTTTCCCTCTCTCGTATAATCCCAATCCATTATCTGAATCTCTTAAGATCTCTCTTTGCTCTGCCAAAAGGAGACGTCCTCTCCGGATTTGCAACGTCTCTTACTCCTCTGGACTAGTTTGGCTGGCTTCAGGTTGGGCGACTAGCTCAAACAACCAATTCTGTCACGCTCGCGTTGTGACGGTGGGCTCTTCTCTCTATTCTGCGAATCCAGGGCGCCCGAAAGTCCCGCTGCCTCAATGCAGTCTTGGAAAAGTCATCTGTAACCACGAGCTGGCTGCCTTGCATACTATTTTCGTCGAGTGCCTGCGCGAAAGACGCGAAGACTGTCGTGTTCGTGCATCCGCTGTGGTCCTGAGGCCCTGACTAGGACCGATATAGACTTGGAGCTGCGTTATCGACTCCCCCTTCATTTCTTGAGACGTGCTATAGGGCCGGCCAATCCATATCGACACTATACCCTTTCGAAGCTGCTGCAACTCTTCATTCTTCGAACGCACCGCCCCTTCCAGGCCTAGGCTTCCCTTCTCCAGACCAGACCTTGACCTTCCCTTCCCACGATCGCCACGCCCGCAGGAGTGTCCACTGCCCAGAAAATAGTACTGCGTAAGTGGTCTATTCGAACTGGCGTGTCAGCACTACACCCAGTGCTCGAGCGTTTTTCCCTCTCATTGCCTTTCGAACGGGGCCAGCCTGCGGCTCCCTCGTCGCTGAGGTGCTCTTTGACCAACAAAAATACAACTCTGAGTGCGTGCTACTTTGGGTTCGCAGTCTTCGTCCTGTGTGTTGCTACTCACCGCACCGCGCTCGGCATCCACTAGCTCCAGGTACCAAGCCCCTCCCTCCCCCCATCTCTCTCTCTCGTTGCACTCTCCTCTTCCACCCTCCCTCGCTTCTCCCTACCCTTGTCCCTTTTTCCCACCGCACCCCCTCTCTGCAGTGGTGTGTCTCACCCCCCACCCCGGTCTACTGGAGACATCACACCCCTACTACCACTGTTACCCTAACCCCTCCCCTCCCCCCCCTTGTGCCAGTGGAATCCATGGCATCCATGCATGCATGGTACCGTAGTGTACATACGTCTCTCTAGCGTGTGAAGACCGCGCTACAATCCTGTACCCCAGGGCTCCTCAGCCCTTTCCAACAACCAGGGCCCATTATCCATCTCCAATTGCCCATCACAGTATATATCCTCCTCCAACGCCCTTCATCTTTCTTCTGGTACTCCCAAGGTCGTCTGTTTAGGATCTCCACGCCTTGCCCACTCTCCCACATACATAACCATCAAGGCGCCCTCGCATCGTGATCCTTTCTACTCCTCCTCTTCCTTCAAGGCATTGGCTTCGTCCATCCTCTCCTATACTCGACACTTTTCCCACAACATACTCGGCTTGGTAGAGCTTTCTTGTCTAACACTGGAGTGTCGCTGGAAAGATATAAACGTTGATACACACACCCGATTTCGCCCATATCACCAAAGACTTGGAATTGCCTAATCCTCTCACGGACTCGGACCCGGATCTCTTTCGTCTTAACCTTGGTGATTCTTGAGTCTCCGTTTCCTTGAGTTGAACTCAGAAAGAGGTTGGGTGGCTGCCACAGAAGCTTTTGGATCTTCTTCGTTGTCTCTGCCGTTTCCCATTGTTTCCTCTCAAGGACAGTTCTCGCGCAGGAAGCCTCCCCCGAACCATCGGCTCTTCGTCTCACCTCGGATTTCTTTCGTGTCGACCACCGGAACTTGTGCCCTGGATGTGCTGAAAGTTGCAAACTCCGTTAGAATTATTCATCATACCGCCGCGATCAACCGGACTTGGACTCTTTCTTCATAGCGAACCAACCCACTTTTGACACCCATCCCACCATCTACACCTAAATCTTAATCACCATGGAACTCCTCGAACTTGTCGAAAACGAACCCACCGCCCGCCCCTTCCAGTGCGATTGGCAATCTTGCAACAAGGTTTGCATCGATCCCCTCCCTTCCTCGGTGGCTGTAGACGTTTGAGCGAAGAAAACCAAAGGACGCCCTACTAACGCCCAAGACAAATAGAGCTTTAACCGCAAGTCAGATTTGCAGCGCCACTACCGGATACACACTAATGAGCGGCCCTACTCTTGCATGACGCCCGGTTGTGGCAAGAGCTTCATCCAGAGGAGTGCGCTCACCGTCCACATCCGCACTCACACTGGAGAAAAGCCCCATCAGTGCGCGCACATTGGGTGCGGCAAGCGCTTTTCTGACGTTCGTCCTTTCTTTTCTCCATTCCACCTTCACCTTGTCCTTGAACTTTGGACACTGACATGTCGTAGTCCTCAAGTCTTGCCCGTCATCGACGCATCCACACTGGCAAGCGCCCCTACAAATGCGCCCACGATGGCTGCTTGAAGAGGTAAGACCCGTCATCGATCATCTGGGTGTCGAGCGCAACCAAAGTCCTAACCTCGCCGCTGTAGCTTCTGCCGCAAGACCACCATGGTCAAGCACCAGCGCCGATCCCACCAAAGGGGTCTGCATCCCAACGAGTTGCTCGACGACTGCACCTCGGACTCGGACAGTGGTGAATCTCCCGCGACCCCCAAGCACTCCGGCATGCAATGGCCCGTCCAGAACGTCATGAACGCCGGCCCCCAGCCCATGTCCCACAGCCATAACCTCCACAGGGCAGCTTCCTTCGCCGAGTTTGGTCACCAGATGGGCCCGTATAACAGCCTGCCTCCTCAGCACTACGGTCACAGGCACACCGTTTCTGGTGGTCCTCACGAATACCACGGCCAGCCTGTTCCCCCTCAGCACCCCGGCGTCCAGATGATCCATCGCACCGCCAGCATGCCCCAGACCTATTATGTAACAGAACAGAGCAATCCAGGCGTTGCCACGATGAACACGAACCCCATGCCTCAACAATACCAGATCCCTCGCCAGCCCATCGAGCGCCTCCCACTTGAGATCCCATACAGCGCCCCCGGCCTCACCTCCTCTATCCAGAGCAGCCCCAGCAGCTTCTCCGCGGCGTCTGGACGGAGCCCGTCTAACCAGGAGGGATTCTACACGCATCAACCTACTCAGGCTGCCACCTATGCCCTTCATGCCGCCTCGCCCGTCGAGCAGCAGCAGACACACCAGTCGATGGTCTCTTATCCCTCGCCCATTCCTCAGCAGATCAGCCAACAGCCTGTAGGCTCACCGCAGCAGGCGATGCCCACCCCCACGCCCTCTCAGGACTCAACTTCCACCGTCGCAGCAGAGCAGTACCAGCAACCCACCCCCCAGTCCGAGGGAGAGCAATGGTACGGCAACATGCCCTACCAGCCTCCCGTGGAGGTCGCGACCATCGGGCAAATCCCCACATACGGATCTGGTGTCTATGATCCCTGGGGTGGCCCCAAGCTTGTCGAGTTCGAGGACCCATCGATGCAGCTTCCCAGCGCAAGGATCGCCAACATGTAAAACCATGGCTTGTTAACGACGCACACGTTTTGCTTTCTTTTTTTTCTTGTGAACATCATCATACCCCATCCCGCATACCTACCTAATCGCTTCAAGGGGGTCCGCCCTCTCTTCAATGAGGGGGAGGGGACTTACCTGTGTAATAATATTACATTATTCGTCGTGCATGTTGTCATCATTGGCTTCCCCGGTTTTCCCCACTCATTTCCTTCTCTATTCTGGCCTTCTGGGATAAGGAGAGACAGTTTGGATATACCAGATGGGGATCCACAGCACCGACCCTGGGCATTGGATCATCGAACAGGAGCATATAAGGCGAAGACAAAACTTTTCCTCCCGAGGAAATAAGACGGCCGCCCCAGAGCATTCTACTCAGTTCGCACCTGAATCGAGGTCGGTTTTGTCCACGCTTCACGTGCGACACTGAGGAAGCCTGTCGCCTGGAAGATACCGGCGATCGGAAACGGGCCAACTTGAACCACGACTGCGATGTCACAGTCATTTTTTTTATGCTGTTTGTTTTTTCCGCCATGTTGAAATACCCCCGTGTCCTCATCTGTCTTAATTTTCTGCATGTCTTTTTTTTTTGCATTTGGTAGTCGACTTTGCCTCGGCTTTTGACTCTCAGATTACCCACGCGCTATGCTTTGACATTTTATTTGTTGGACACAAATCCAGGTTGCCTTTGATTCAACACAGCAACCACCTCCCTGCTCCTTTACCTTGCAGAGATGCGCCGTTGGGGATATTTGAGCAAGGCGAAAGAACGAGACGAGGCAAGCTATAACGGCGTGAGTAGCAATACCCACCGGCGAGGCAAGGAGCCCTTTCGGCGACAGCCTCGCCATGAACACGGCACACACTGCGAAGAGGATAGGGGCCAAGGGAGCTGGAGCATATTAATCCGGGAAGGCGAGGAGGGACGAGGCAAAGACTGGGGACGCATCAAACGACGCACGACTATGGATGAATTGGATTCCTTTATGATATCCCCACAATGTTGACGGCCGCTTTTTGATTCATGATTTTGGCGGGTTTGGGCGGGAGGGCATCAGGAGGGGAAATGAGCGCTTCTCTCTCGGGTTGGGCGGGTATTTGGTTGTAATGGCGGTGGTGTTCTTGGGTGTGTGAAGGCATTCATCGGAACGGAACCCGGAAAATAGCACAGGAAAGGGCTCGTCGAGGTCGAGGTGGGTCGGGGAGAAAGGAGCGGGCAACATTGGAACCAAGAGTCCACGCCGCTACTGGAGGACCTCAAGGCAAGATCCCAAATGGATAGTCAGGTGACGGTCCGGTGTATTAACTTTTGGGAGTCCAAAATGGTGTTTGGGTGGACAAGACAGTCTTTTGTGCGAGTGTGTGTCAAAGGGGATACGGCGAACGAAAGATGGCGGTAACTGAGAAGATGATAGACTCGGGTGACCATCTTACAAGACTGAAAGCCTTCAATCTTGAGATCCGTCGACTCTGAGCATCCTCCATGATATGTAAGATTAGCTGTGTTTTCTTCCAGTGGGATTTTTGTCATGTTAGTTATTTTCATTTTGTGGAAAGTTTTAACATTGGTATATTGGAACCAAAAATATGGACGCTCCGTCTGCTGCGTGATTCCGTGATATATATAAATGCCCGTCTCCCGTAGAAAAGTTGAAGAACAAAAGTGCGAGGTTTTTGTTGCCACGACCGGTCAGTTGGGCCGTTATTGGAAGGTGTTGGGAGATCTAGGCAGAAAGGAATGAGGCAGTTTCCTGAAGCGTCCAGGCACATATGCAGGTCTGAACCAAAAGGAAGAGATATTTTTCCCAGGCTTACGGCATTTGATTCTCATGGTAATATTAGCCTGACAGTCTCGGTGTCTTCTTTGGAGGACAGATATGAGATCGGAAGGAAGACGAGGAATGTTTCAGTAGTTAGACGAGGTTGGATCGTGATCGGCGTTGCGAGATGCCTCGATGGGATCGAGAGGACGGAAGGTGACAATAAGGAAGGGAAGGGTTTAACTCGCACATTCCAGAAAACCTCTAGAATACGAATCCTGGAGGAGAAGGCAGTGCAAAAACTTGCAGGACCGAAGGGAGGGCGCTGTTTAATGTCTTTTCTGGCTTATTCATGTTTCCGAGAGACGAGGAGTTTGATGCTCCGTAATATATTTGGGCTTATTTCCACAATGGCTTTCCTCCTTCGTCGCCAATCTTGCCTATGCAAGTTGATAGGATTATCAACTTTATTCTCGGAAGACACCTCCGATACGAGGGATGTGAGAGGGATATATGCATTGCTGCGCCTACTTTTTAAACCCTTTCGCTGCAACATACTGAAGAATAATTACAAACTAATGAGAAAACCTGGACGTAGCCAGGCATCTCGGATCTTAAGACGTGGGGGGGAAGAAGCCTCCTGCTTTTCGCATAAGGATGTAAATGGGGGGGTTTGGCTGAGAAGGGAAAGCCGGGGCGGAGGGAATGGGCCATAATTTTGGGTGATATTCCGGGAAATGGGCATGCATCGTTGTGAGACGGAATGGGATAGATGAAGGGACTTCGGCAGGTTTCCTGGTTCTTATTGCCTGTTTTTCTTAACATTGAGGTTATCCGCCTCAAAGAACCGGGCACCTTGGAAAGGAGAGTGAGATGGTGGACTGTTTGTTTTACAGAGTCTTGAGAGCGTAGGGTTTCGGCCCGGGAAGTCTTTCGTCTTCTTTACTTAGAATTGTTGCAATTAATCCGTGCTCCTCGATGACGATTTTGTTTTCCTGGCAAGGCGAAGAGAGAGGTTGGACTTTCGCTGCATGGATTGCAAAGGATCAATGTTGGTTTTACCCTATTAGTGTTATTCTGTCTTTGGTCCGGTTTGGCACAGCATATGTGCGCAATTTCCGGCATGAGAAATGGAGAAATGCAGATGTTGTACCGAGGCAGAGACTGAATATCCCGTTCAGCTTGTGTCTGGCGGATCATCGCGAAGTGCCAGTTGAAGTGATGAGACGAGGAGCGACTTCCCGATGCCGGCGGTTCACTTGTTGGCGTCTGGCGGCAGTTTCCACGAGTGAGTCAATTGGCGATGAATAGTATGTAATTATCGTCCAATCGATCCAGCCCATTTATTCCCCAGATCACGTGTGATCGATTAAGACCATGATCTAATCGGAGATTTCCTACCAATGAAAAGCATTTAAATCCCAACAACTTGAACGAGTCGGGAGTTGGTGAGACATCCACGTGATTGCCGTATGGCGAAATGCGTGCTTGGAAAATTAATTTGCCGACATTCATCCAGTTTTCGGACCTCTCGCCTTCTCCAGGCTTCTAGAGGAACATACGACGGCTCGACTGAATCCATTTCCCCATCATCCATCCATCACCGCCTTCCTTATCATCGGTGATGATGCAGGTCGCACCCTGCATGTGGTAGGTTTGCTCCGATATTTAAGCAATTCGCGTTTTCGTCTCCAGCTAATCCTGACTCTCCCCCGCTTTTCTCCGACATCCAGCGAGTAACCTAGCCTCACCCATCTTCCAGCACGAATATCATATCGCATCAGTCACGCCCGCATCGTTAATTCCGAATTTTTGCGGGATAACCTCGCCACCTCGCCGACATGTCAACTCCAGGGCCCATGGCACTGGCTCTAGCCAGGCCAGCCCTCGGCCCTTCCATATCATCCATTCTTTTACGTCCTCTCGGCCAAAGGCTCCCTGTTCATCTGGCAAGATGGAATCGCGCCGCCCTTCAGCCTTCTCCTCAGTCCCGCACGCTCTACGTGCCACGCACCCTCCTTCCGTCCTTTTCTGCCAAAGCCAACTCCATCAACCCGCGCTTCGTCCGATCATCATCTCCTTCGGCAACTCTTGGACTCAGATTCTCATCTCAGTTTACGACTCTTCGCACCGGTGACTCAATCGGCATTTCACGAAGCCTGCTCGCTACGCGGGAAGCCACAGCCAATCGGAACCCCAACAGCGCCACCGCCCAGAATGCCTTTTACCAGTTGCTCCTCAAGGCCGGGATGCCGGCAATCGTCGTCGAGAGGTACCAGTCCGGCCTCTACGCCTCGAACGAGGCCGCTGACGCTGCCTACGTTCGCGCGCTTGAGATGCTGAAACAGGGTGTCGGAGAAACCGCCTCTGTCGGCGGTGCGTCATCGCAGTTTGGCGTGCCCAGCAACAACAACCTGACTCCGGAACAAATGCAGGCCGTCGCTCAGGCCGTAGCCGCGCGCATGAAGGGAACCGATATGGCGGCCTCGACTGGCCAGGGTCTCGGCTCTAAGCAAGGTCCGCTTCACGTGGTTGTCGAGGAATCCAAGGGTTCGGTCCTCTTCCGGTGGATCAAGACGCTGCTTTACTTTGGTCTCATTACCTACATGTGCATGGTGGTCGTCACGCTTGCTGTCGGCTTCTTTGATAACCTCGACGTCTACAAGCGGGGCAATAAGAAGAGCCAGGGCGAGGTCAGGGCCGAGACCCAGAAGACGAGGTTTTCCGACGTCCACGGCTGTGATGAGGCCAAGGAGGAACTTTTGGAAGTTGTCGAATTCTTGAAGAATCCCGACCGGTTCTCGACTCTCGGTGGAAAGCTCCCCAAGGGTGTACTTCTCGTTGGCCCTCCCGGTACCGGAAAGACGCTTCTTGCTCGAGCTGTTGCTGGAGAGTCTGGTGTCCCCTTCTTCTACATGTCTGGCAGCGAGTTTGACGAGATCTTCGTCGGTGTCGGCGCTAAGCGAGTTCGCGATCTCTTCACGGCTGCCAAGGAAAAGTCCCCCTCGATCATCTTCATTGACGAGTTAGACGCCATCGGTGGAAAACGAAACGTCCGCGACGCAGCGTATATGAAGCAGACCCTGAACCAGCTTTTGACGGAGCTCGATGGATTTGAGCAGAATACCGGTGTCATCGTCCTCGCGGCTACTAACCATCCTCAGCTTCTCGACAAGGCTCTCACCCGACCCGGTCGTTTCGATCGTCACGTCGTCGTCGACCTTCCCGACGTTCGCGGCCGCCTTGCCATTCTGCAGCACCACGCCAAGAAGATCAAGACCGCCCCCGATGTAAAGTTCTCCGTCCTTGCCGGTTTCACCTCTGGACTCTCCGGTGCCGAGCTGGAGAACATTGTCAACCAGGCCGCCGTTCGCGCTAGCAAGGCCAAGGCTTCCGCCGTCACAATGAAGGATCTTGAGTGGGCCATGGACAAGGTCATCATGGGTGCCGAGAGGCGATGGGTCATTTCTCCCAAGGAGAAGCTCATGACTGCCTACCACGAGGCCGGCCACGCGCTCGTTCACCTTTTCGCTGACAAGCCGCCCAGCGAGCTCCACAAGGTGACGATTCTCGCCCGTGGTCAGTCGCTGGGCCACACGGCGTACATCCCCGAGATGGACAAGTACTCTTATACTCTTATGGATTACATGACGCATATCCGGGTGGCGCTAGGTGGTAAGATTGCGGAGGAGTTGGCGTTTGGTCCTGACCACGTCACCTCGGGCGTATCAAACGTAAGTTGAGAGAAAAAAACCCGCCTCAAGATGAAAAAAAAAAAAATGAAAAAAAAATTTATATGCTAACTTGCTGCTCGCTTTATAGGACCTCGAAAAGGCTACCAAGGAGGCTTTCGCCATTGTTGGCCGCTTCGGCATGTCCTCCAAGCTCGGCCCCATGGACTACGCCAACAACTACGAAAAGCTCAGCTCCGAGACGAGGGCCGCGGTCGAGACCGAGGTGCAACGACTTCTCAGCGAGTCCGCCGAGGACGTCAAGACACTTCTGAGTTCCAAGCGCAAGGAGCTCGATCTGCTAGCCAAGGCGCTCGTCGAATACGAGACACTAGACAAGCGGGAGGTAGAGCGCGTCATCCGCGGCGAGAAGCTGACGGGCCGCATGCCGGCGTCGCCCAACGGCACCATGTCGGTGCCCGTGCCTGATAAGCCGGCCGTTGCGCCGCCTCCCCTGCCCACTGGGCGGCCGACTACGGGCGAGACGACGGAGCCGCCGCCGTCTGTTCCTGCTCCTTAGTGAGGAGGTTTTGGAGATGGAAACTCTCGTTTTTATGAGCGAATTCTTTTTTTGAGTCTTTTTTTTTTTTGCGCCTTTCTTTTGTGTTTCCAGTCACCAACAAACGAGCAACTCTGAAAACCAGAGCAGGAGTCCGGGGATGTGGACATATCCAACACATCATCACTTCAGTGGGGGTTCCGGCATTTTCTTTATCTCGTCCACTTGTCCACTATGGGAAGGCTTGTGTGTAAAACGGGTAAACAAACAACTGCATATAAGGAATTGAGAAGAACAAAAAAAAAAGGGATAAAAAGGAAAAAAAAAGAGACGGAAAATACATTCTCTGTCCAGAAACTACATTTACCCTTCCCCTTCTCCACTCTCTCGCTCATGAACAGAGCGTCAAGCGGTTCGTTGGCTTGAGGGGGGAGAGGGGATTACTAGGAAGAGAAGGAAAGCGAAGAGGGATTTGTATAGTAAACTTTTGGGGGGATGGCAGAAAAGAAGAAGGAAAAAAACATAACGCTTTGCATCTTGCATTGGTTTGTTTCTGTTTTTCTTGTCTCTTTTTCGCCCTTCTTCTTTTTGCGTTTTCCTTTTGTGTTTAGACATTAATGGAAATAAGGGGATAAGCGGTAGTGGTTAGCCAAGGAAGGGATGGTGAGATAGGAGGTGGAGGTGTAGGACTTAGGGACTCTCCAATGATATGAAACTTTTTTTACTTGGTCATTTCTTTTCTCCTCTCTTCCTTCGTCGAGACGAGGTTGGCTCGAAGTTTGTTGATGTCTTTTACTTTTATCATCGTCGTGTGTTGATATATGTCAAGTTAAGGGTCTAGATCGATCGAGTCTTATCTCTCGTCCTTGCAAACTCCCCTACATCCCTACAAACGAAATAGCAGAATGCGAACCATGGAAGAGGAGAAATTGAATTATTATTCCGTCAAACATGACAAGAAGAGCAGGAGAAAAAGGTATAATCTGATATAATAACAAGAAAAGAAAAGAAAAGAACAAAGACACCCTTTAAACGCCAATTTCCCCACTTCCTCGAGGAATCAAACCCCGTTTCCCTATTTTCCGAACCTTCCGTAAAAAGTGGCCTGGCTTCTGTTTCGTTTCTTCTATGTGTTTTCCATTCTTGTATGATTAGATGGGTATATGAACCGTTGGATTCCCCTACTGTGAAACGAGGATGTAAGAGGTGGTGATGAGAGGATGGGGCGGTGATGGGATGAGAGGAGAGAGTAAAAGTATCAGAATGGTTGAGAGGAAAAGAAAAGGGAAAAAGACTCCGCGCTGTTCCGTCGGCACCTTCTTAAGATCATTCTACACTTATCACCAATCCCTGTTTGACATGTCGACTTCGCCACTACTAAGTAGACGGCAAGAAGCACGGACATCATGGCCCGTAGCTGTGAGAACCTCTGTAGGCCTTCCCTCCAAATGATGATGGCAACAATGTCGGGTATAATGATCAAACAAGCTCAAAAGATCTTTTCCCCTCCGCCGCGCGGACAATTCGCATCAAATCAAGTCAAGGCCAACAATGATATTTGCCACTCCAGCTTAAATGACGACTTTCAAGAGTCGGATATGCATTGCGGACAGCTCTCCTCAGAAAAAAAAAGAGAAGAAGAACGTTTCAACTCTCCTGGGTATCATCAACCACTCCAAACCAAGCACAACAGAAAAGGAGAGAGAAATCAATGACAGAAAAGAGACTCCTCAGAAGAATGAGGGCTTCGTAAGCACCCGATACTCCACGTAATCCTCCCCATCAATACTGATAATCGTCCCCTGCGACACGAACCGTCCCTGGAACGGCCCCGTGGCTTTCCGCTCGTACTTGACGCCATTGTAGATCTTGGCGTCGTCCTGGCTGCTGCTCGGAGCAGCCGCCTTCGCGCGGTGCGCCTCCTGCCTGGCCCAGACGTTGTTGAGGCGCGCCATTTCGTCCGACTCGTGCAACGGTACGCGGCCGCTGCTGCTACCACCACCACCACCGCCATTATTAGTATTGCTGCTGGCATTACTGTTGTTATTGTTGTTGCTGTTATGATTGCCGTGATAACCGCTCGACGATGCGAGGTGGCCATTGCTGGGGAGCACCGCCTCGTGGCGGACACCCTGCATAGGCGTCGAGTGACCCGTGGAGAGCGCAGCGGCGGCAGCCACGGCGGCTTCCTTGGTGGCGGCGTATCGGTCCTGACGGAGCTGAGCGGCTTCGGCGCGGGCGATTTCACGCTGGGCGATATTGCTCGTCCTCTCGACAAGCTCGGACGTCGCGCGATGATGATGATGATGATGAGTCGCCGAGGAAGAGGATGATTCCTGGTAGTTGGGGCGTATATCGCGGGTGCGGCGCTGGGGTAGGTCGGCATCAGATCCGGCGTTGCGGTACTGGAGTTGTTGTTGCTGCTGCTGCTGCTGTTGTTGTTGTTGCAGCTGTTGTTGATGAAGTGGATGTTGCTGCTGTTGTTGCTGTTCAAGTATATGTTGCTGATGGTGGTGGTGGTGATGGTTGTTTTGATGATGCTGGTGGTGAAGTTGTTGCTGTTGAGACTGCAATTGCGGCGGTTGCTGGTAGCTGCTACGCACGGGTCGTGTCTCGGCCATCATGCTAGAATCGTCGTCTCGAGCAGATCTGGGCATGGCGGCGCTGGTGTACCCGCGGAATCCGGCGGCGACGCGCTCGCGGGCGTAGCGAACGGCGACGTCTTCGTTGACCAAGCGTTGCTGCTCCGACTCGTCGCCGCGGTCCATCTGGTACTGTCGGACACGGCAGTACTCCTTGACCTCGTTGCGGTTAAGACCCTCGAGGGCCGGTTCAAACTGGACTTCGTCGTAGTGGATCCAAAGGGCGCCGGCTCCGGTGGGGAAATTTCCATTCATGTAGCGGCCGTCACGGGTCTCCCGGACAACCTTGACGCGGAACATGTCGTTCTGGCCGAGGATACCGTAGACGGCGTGGCGGTTGCGGACATCACGTTCGCTCGAGCCCTTCCAGTATCCGACAAGTACACGGGTTGGGCGGGTGCCGATAAGGGGGTCGTGGGGGTCCAGAGAGAGGATAGCGTTAATGGCGGCTTCGCGGAGTGAAGGGCTCGAGGAAGAGCCGGGCACAAAGCTCCCCGACGTCCTGCGGCGCTTCGCAGAGTTGTCGACGCGAGCAGGGGTAAGTAGCGTCTCGGGGACATTCTCGCCATAAGCCATGGGAGCCGGGGGTGCGGTATCAGGAATGGGGTTCGCTTTGAGGCGGCTAATGGCTTCGGCACGAGCAGCAAGATCGGCCTCGGAAAAGGCTTCCTTTGAATCATCGGCAGAAGTCATCTCGGAACGGACTTTGACGTACTCCTTGATGTGGTGCTGGTCGAGGCCCACGAGATGGTCGTCGAAAACGATTCGCTCGAATGTAACCCAGCTGCCTCCGGGGCCGGGGGGAAGAGGGTACTCGGGCGGGACGGGTTCCCCAAACCGCGTGGTATTTTGAATTTGGGTGCGAAGACGATCTCGCACGTCGATGAAGCCGACGACAGCATGCCTATCCTCAACACTGGGAACGCGAGAGTCCCTCCAGTAGCCTAGCACGACTCCCTTGATGCCGGGACCAGTAACCGATCGACGAACAATCTTGGTACGCCGGGGTTCTAGCTCCTTGGAAATGTCAGTAGTGACTGCACGGTCGGATTGGTGGTCATGCTGACGACGGGGGGGACTGTCGGGAAGTAGAACGCGTTTGGTGCCGCGGCGGGCATCCGTTGGGCCACGAGAAGAGGTGTCATCCTGAGGTTCGCCGTCGGTGTCGGGGAAGTGGGAGTATGGTGGGTTAGACGAAACGATATTATTCTGCGAGCTGACGACAATTTCGTCGTGCAGAGGGTTGATATTCATACTGCTGGGAAGGCTCGGACTTTCGCTGGGAACAGGGCTCAATTCATGATCACTTGCCGTGCTTGGGTGATCCAGAATTACAGTATTGCTGGTCGGAGGAGGTCTAGACAAATGGGTTAGACTCTGAAAGAGGAAGAAAGCGGGTCGGCTGCAGGTTTCAGTCGGCATCGACGAGTCGATGAGAGGGATGACAAAACTTACAGACTAGGGTCTTCTTCAACAGGGACAGGGGACTTGACGGGCTTGACGGGCTCGGCAGGGTCGTCGCGGACGCCGTCGGCCTCGAGCGGCGGAGGAGTCTTTGTTGGAGCTGGAGCCTGTTCACTCATCCTGACTGACGCTTGTGCAATCAGAAGCAGAGAGTAGAGATGCTGGATATCTAGAATGGCGATCATGGTTAGAACAAGTGGTTCTTTGATGGAAATGGCTTGGATAATGTAGAGGTTCTGAGATGGAGATGGCAAGATGCTGCAGTGTAGTGTTATCTTGTGTCTAGACAATGATAGAAGTTACCTTTACTGAGTTTTGTGCTGGAAAGAGCAGGGAGGGCGGATTAGTTCCTGAGATGGAACAGGACTATAATCTGCTGTTAGTTAAAAGGGTGTCACTGAAATGTATAAAGCTGGATTTAAGATGACGGCTTAGAAGTAAGGTGTGTACTTAGGGGTGACAAGAGTTGGAGAGATATGGCGGTGGGATGTAAAGTAGAAGTTGGGTTAAAAGGAGAAAGAAGAATGAGAGTATGAGAGCGGACGAGGTGGACTGAGGGAGATGTGGGAAAGACGATTTGGTTAAAAAAAAAAAAGGAAAAACCAAGATAGACAGAGTGAATAAGGGAACCAACTTATTCATTGCGATGGGCGCAACTAATCAGTTTCGATGGTTGTGACGATGCAAACAGGAAGTCGCTAGGCAGTTTGTTACAATACACTGGTACTGGAGTAAGAAACATGGACAGCTCCAAAGCAACTGTGAACAAGTGTGATTCATGGTAGTTTATTGCCCTTGCTAGCCCTTGCTACCGACTAAATAGCACAGCTATGGCAATTCAAGTGGGATATAGAATAAAGAGGCGCAATGAGTTGATGAGTCAAGTGGTGGTGCAAGGACAAAAGGAAGAGTGAATAAAACATCCATCAAACTACTCGACGCAGTTGTCTCACTCAATCAAAGGTCGAGGTTTGAGAGTTGAAGAAAGGGCTCACGAACTACAAGGGGGCATGTCGCGGTGTATCAAGTCGAGGTCCTTTTTCTCTGGTGGCAGTGGTGGGCGCAAAGAAGGAAGCAAGGCTGGGGATGGGCCTTGAGAGACAAGATGAAAAATGATGCAGAAAAATTCGAGATAGCCTCGATGTGCAGAGTTGGGGATGAGAAGACCAGAGCTGGAACTGCCGAGACAAAACGCTTGTGCTGTGGTGATGTTGGATGGCAACACGGGAAGAGAGAAAACGAGCTCAAGCTTACCAAGTCACAAAGTTGAATGGGATCCAATGATAGATCGGACAAACGTGTCGTTTTGATTATTACAGTTGAGGCTGTGAAGAGTTTGATGGCTTGGAAGTGGTTGGTTGATCGATCTGAGAAGGGTAAAAACTCAAAAAAAGTTGACAATCAATTACGTGTTGTGTTGTGTTGATCGGCATCGAAATTTCATCAAAAAAGACAGGCGAAAACCATCGAACGAGGGACGAGAAAGGATGGATAAAAAGGGGAAGGTTGCCCGGGTCAAGAGCCAAACGTCAAATGTCGCGATCGCGAGACAACGAGAGAGTGAGGCTCAGGGTTAAACGAGGCTCGTTTCGTTTCTGGTTTTGAGTTGATGCCGCGTCGGGTTGAACGTTGATAATGGAAACAGGAGAGAAGAGCGAGAAGGAGAGGCTGAGAGCAGGTGGAAGCAAGTGGGAGTTGTCGTGAAATGGGAAAGGAACGGGAGAAACGGGATCAGTTTGGGAGGTTGAAAGACAACGGATCAAGAGATTGATGAATTTGGATTGATTCGATTGATGTTGACTCTATTGGGTGATGCACCAATGCATTTGATCAATTTGATCAAGTCACTTGCGTCAGTGGTTGAGGTCGCGGTCGCGGCAATCGTCGTGGCAGTGGTGGTGGCAGTGTAAAGTTGTTTGACCAGGAGAGCAAGTTGAGCGGCGGTTGCGAGCGATAAGGAAAAAAAGAAACTCTGAACAAATAAACCTGAGTCGCGGGAGGAGGATCAATCAAATCAATCAAATCAATCAAATCACAGTTGCCGTCGCAAGTTGGTACAATTATGGACAACGAAGAGAGACCGCAAGTCTACAAGTGTCAAGTACCAACCCAACCCAGGTTGCCTTGCGAGGTTGGTCGGAACTGCCCTTTCGCTTCGTACTTCGTAATGTCGCAAAGATCAACCAAAACTGGAACTTGAAAATGGGTCTGGTTATTTCCCTCGTGCGAGGCGCAGGAAGGAAAGAACAACAGGGCACTTGGCACATGCTATGAATTATGAACACATTTGACAGTTGAACCCGAAGCTCCTGCCTGTTTCGCCTCTAATACTTCGTAAACTCAAAGCTACTTGACATATGCCAAGGGTGCTAATTAACTAATGAATAATAATTTCGCCAGCAATTTGCAGAGACAGGAAGGTACTGGCATTCGACCTTGCCGTTGCTGTCAATTGTCAATTGATGAGTCGTGTACCAAGTACTCCGTAATCATTGTTCCAAGTCCAAAGTAGCAATTTGAATTGTCACTAACCGTGCCATCGCCTCGCGCCATTCTTTGTAAGTAGTTCCAAAGGTTCAACATTACAATAATCTTTATTTTGATTGAACATTATTAAGAGGCTCTCGGGTTCAGACAATTCAACTTTTGACAAGGGCTCAATGTTGAGCAGAGCACGCCGACTCAAATGATCTATTAGCTGAGGCCTTCTCTTCGGACCTCTCAAAGTACCCCCGAACAATACAAAGTACGAAGTACACTCATCTCGTTCGCCGAAGACAATCCCGCCCTGCCCGACATCAATCGAGATCAACATTGGATGGAAGTCGCAAGCCTCCAACTTCGGGGAACAAAGTACCTCGGTACCAGCCTGTAATAGCCCTACATAGTCCTACGACACTACTGAGGTACACTACAGTAGCCCATGACCCCATGACTCCAGGATTCAACTGCCAGATGCTAGCCGCCAACATCAACGCTTGTTCGATCGCGATTGCTCAAACGAAATTAGCACAGTACATGTACAAAGTATAATATTACTTCGTCCTCTTCGTACCCTCTTCCCCGTATACTTCGTCCATTCCCGTTTGTCCATAGTTTATGACTACACGAAGTACGAAGTAGTGTAGTGAACGTGAAGCTGTGGAGTGCTTTTGCACTATTTCCGTACACACGCCTGCCTCCAACGTCAGCTGAAACTGCTCGGCTTCAGGGCGCTTCCATTAATCCCTGTCCGCCTAGCAAACGAAGGATCATTAGCTTCATGTTGTATGCAGTGTTAATTTCTTCCTGTCTCCTCCATCCGCGATCCCGCAACCTCCTTGCGAAAGCGAGAAGATATTGAATGGCACTACCTTTTGTGACATTTGATCTCACCACTGAATACTCTGAATACCGTGAGGATCTCGAAGAGAAAAGAATAAGATACTGTGAGTGCATGTGAGGACAGATATCATCCTGAAACGAGAGAACACGTCAAGTACTCCGTACAACTTGCCCCGAGCCTCAACAGCCCACCCGCTGATCAAGGCTCATCCTCATTGGATCCAGCTTATGATCTTATCCAACTCGTCGGAAGGGCGGCAAGCAAGATGTAGCATCTGGTGGTAACACTCGAGCCAACATGATGAACCCTGCGATCTCTTTTACCTTTTTATCACTTTTTCCCTTCTCCTTTTTTCCCCCTAACCTTCGACATGATACTCTTCAAAGTTGGTCTCAACCTGTAAGAACTCGGGATTAGAACTGAACGAGATGTCGTAATGAGATTATCTGGTGTCCCACGGAAACGGCAAAGATACCCAGAATAAAGCACATCAAACAAAAACGTAGAATACAAAGTATTGTTCCGGAAAAAAAAAAAAAAAAAAAAAAAAAAAAAAAAAGAAAAAAAAAAAAAAAAAAAAAAAAAAAAAAAAAAAGGCAAATCCATCAAACCCTCCCCTTGCGCAATTCTGCAACCCAATGAGGACGTACGACATCCAACATCACATCCAATGCCGCACAGCCATGGTCCGATAAAACACTGCTTGTACACGTAGTTGTAAATGTACATCCACATTCCCTCACGGAGACGACCAACACTCCGTTCTGGCGATGCCGAGCCAATAAGCGCTACGCCACTGGAGCAAACGACGCCCACTTTTGCTTCCATAGGCCCGAGGAAAAGACGGGGAGTAGTGTAGTTGTGGTAACTTGGCTTGGTGTAAAGCCCGTTTGCGCAGGAAGCAAGAAAGGGAAAAATAAGAAATGAAAATTAACATTAAAAATCAGAATGGAGAGACAGAGAAAAGTCATATTAAATAAGTTCTAGGAAAATTCCGAGGCATCATGGATTTCTGGGTGAGCGTCTATTTTCTATAAAAGTCTATCCTTTTTTTGTCCCCGATCCTATGAACCATGTACAAATATCAAACAGAAGTGGACCTTGTAACGACGGTCCGGGTATCTCACATCGCACCTCTACCAACTCCATCATCGTAGAACCTCGCAATGAATTGAATTGCCCACCTCACAATCATCATCAACCACCCCTCTTCCCACCTCTCTTACCTCCCCGCTTCCCTCCACGCTTCCCACCCCCCTGACCCCCTCTCTTTGCGGGCCCCTTCCTCCCCTCAGCAGCACCGCGCACCCGCGCATCAAACCCCTCAAACAGCACCTCCTCGCCGAACCCGGCATCACTGAACCGATTGAAACTAATAATGCCGTGGTCCACCACCGCGATGAGCACGTTACGGTATCCGTGCTTCAGGCGAAGATGCATCTGACCGACGTTACCCGCGGGAACCCCCGGTTTAACGAGTGGAGGCGGGTCATAGGGCGTGCTCTCCAGGAGAGCCGTCATTTGCTCGAGTGACGGGAAGAGCGTGTCGCGCGTGTCGACGACACAGACTCGGAAATCGGGCGGCGGGGGGGCGCCTTTGCGGAAGGCACCCTCGGCCTTCCAGACGTGGTAGTGGATCCGGTAGGGATCATCGGGGTCGGTACGCTCAGAGCCTCGTTTTGATGGTAGGTGTCGCGGGATAACGGAAAGCTGTTCGAAGATGGAGTTGTAGGACCGGTAGAGACCGGGCCGGACTAAAGGGCCCAGGGGAGGTGGGACGTGGCTCTGGGAAACCGAGGGAATAAGCGATGCCAACCATCGCCAGAGAGTCCACCCTGGCTTATCATCCGTGGAGGTCGACGTCTCCGGCTCGTGCTTGAACCCTCTCCTCACGGGCATCACATGGAACCCGGCGCGCTTCAAAGTAGAGTAAACCTGAAACCTCGCCAGCGGCACCTTTCCCCTCTCCCCAGGCTCCCCGATAAGCATGGCATACGCCCCCTGCAAACTCAGCGGAAGTCCAATCTCGTACTCCTCATCCTGAATCGGTGTAAGGACGGACTCCTGAACCTGTCCGCCGCCTTCACCCACTTCCTGCGGCGGAAACAGCTCCTCAAGCTTCCTATCAGGCCACCAAATCTCCATAGTCCCCCTCTCCAGCAAAAACAGCGCCTCCTCCGGAAAAAGCCACGTCTGCCCCGAAGCCGCACAAGTCCTCTTCACCCCCGGAACCACCCTCCCCAACAACCTCGCCGGAAACCTCTTCGTATGCTCCACAACAACCACGCGATCCTCCAACAACAGCTCCCCGGCCACGGCATCGATGCGCTCATTCCCCTCACGAATCTTCCTCCCCTCGTCCCCGACCCACCAATCGGGAAAATACCACGCCCGCACCCAGTTCTCCTCCGTGTAGTGCCTCTCGTAGCTGAGGACTTCGTCCATCACGCGCCGACTCGTCTCGAGCGCGTCGTCTTGCGCGCGTGTCCCGTGCGCTTCGAAGTCCTTTTCGCCTTTGCGCACTTCTTGCGCTGAGCGGCCCTTTTTGCTCAGCATCGAGGCGAGGATGCGGTAGTCGGGGGCGCGGTCCTCGTTTTCGTCGGCTTCCTCGCCCGCTGAGGGGTGGGCGGGGCGGAGGATGGCATTTTCGTCGTCGTCGTCGAATGCCATTTTCGGTCTTTGGTGGAGGTGGTGAATGGGGAAATTTGTAGATGGATATCGGGGATTTTGAGGGTGGATTCGATTTCTGTGGTGGTTTTTTGCAGCTCTGTTTTAAGCTTCGATTTTGAAGGCGTTGTCACGTGGCCGAGTACGTGCTGTCGCACCCCACCCCCGCCTTATTGTTCTGGACCCTGGAGATCCCTGTCCATAAGCGTTCCAGGCAACAGAACCTCACCTGGCCTCGTGGCACTCACATCAAAGAGAGAGTGCTGAGATGTTTTATCAGACGTGGCATTTCACTGATCACTCAAAGTGTAACAAATAGTCTAAGCCACAGATATGGCCTGTCTTGTACCGCCTGACGTGTTTTGAGTCAAGGTTGACTTCCCAACTGACAAAGACAGGACACATCACAGCCTCATCGAATGTCCTCGAATGTCCAGTTACAGTATAACTTTACCCAATCAATATCGGAGGAGTAGACTCCGTAGCGAAGTGCCGCTGCCAGATGTACTTATGTTGGTTGGCGGAGATGGGCGGAAGGTCCCCGAGTAGGTCTCACGAGCCTCAGCCTGGTCACCAGAGCGGGCGCTGAGCTGGCGAACGGGCGAACAGGAGGCGAACAGGCGAACGGCCAATTCGGTGAAGATTTCCTACGCAGATGTGCAATCTCGATCTGTTGGTAATCTTCGAAGCTCGTGTATAAATTTCTGGGTTCTGTTCCCTCAAAACCAATTTCTCTACTATTCTATTAGTACAAACGTCTCATCTTGTTAAGCCCAACCTGTGAATTCACTGCTTTTAGACGAAGCTATTCATAAACATTTACTTCATCATATTTGCTTCTACTCAAAGCACTAATACTTGCTATGGCTCCGTCAACTGTTCCCTGCCCCAATTGCGGCATCATCATCTCTGCCACTCAAGAGTGCCCTTTGTGCTAGCGGAAGAACCAGAACGGTCGACCATGTAAGTAAAGTTTTTTACCTTCAGCAATGAACGACGATGAAGCTGACCGGAAAGGTACGGCGTCGTTCAGAAACCGATCTTACTCTCGGGTCTGTTTGAGAACAGGGGGTCGAATCCGTTCATTTGGGATTACTTGCAATATCCGTTTTGCGTTTGAGCCGGGAAAGGGTTCGAACAGGCCCTTGCCACCGACAACACCCATATTCCGCTTAGAACGAGGATGCATCCATCAGGTTTCTGGTCAGGAACACCAAACATATCGACCAGGAAACTCTATGATTCCTTTCATGATGGCAGCATTACCCACTTCTTTATGGCATACATACCTTCAAACTAGGAGAAGCCCCATACCTACCTAGCTAGGCAGGCCTGGCGACCAGACAGTCGCTCTGGCCTAATGAAGGATGCCAATGAACTGGAAATCAGTGTACCAAACTTCTCAAGTCTCTCAGCGACTGTATCTGGGCTGCCAGAGGGGAAAAGAAGTGGAAGCCGGGGTTTCCAGCCCAACCGACCGTCTGTTCACCAGGTTATCATTGACTGGCGACACAGGTAATGTTGCTGCTAGGGTGGACTGGGAGTGGAGGAGGCTTCTATACTCCATCAAAGCTGGAGTTGACGTTTTACTGGAGGCATAGCGCTTGGGTTGATCTAGGGGGAGAAGTAGATTATAATAAATGACTTGATTGACCCCATCTCTTCGGATCATTAAAGTGGTAGAGTCCCGCCCTCCATGCCAAACAGAAACATTTCCTGCAGTGGTGCGAGGACCCCCTCTTTAGTTTCCGATCGCCCGTTTCTCTTGATTCAGAGGCATTTAAAAATGCAAATAGCCCGAGTATCTCTCCATGTTTGAATGTAATCCTCGAGAGGAGCAAAACGAAAATTGAAAGAATGGGCAAAAAAAGAAATTGTGAGAGCTGCAAGGATCGAACTTGCGCGGACAATGTCCATTGCGGATTCGGTATCTAGGTTTAACCTAAACGCAACGCCTTAACCACTCGGCCAAACTCCCGACGATTTGTTATCCAAGCGCTTTCATTTTCCTAATTATCTAGCTTCCTGTACTAGTTTGTCACTTGTGCCTTCCACATGCTGGCTTTTCCTTGCATCTCATTCTCCCCATAGGAAGGTGGGGGGAGAGGTGGGACAAATCTTGTTGAGCGGGGCAAAGATACTTTGGTCAAGGTACCGGTTGCACCAGTGTTTGTCCACAGTGTGAGGTTCCTCTTTGGTTGTTTCAGTCTGGTGCCAAATCACAACTGGCCGCCCAGCAACCAAACCAAGAGAGAAACAGCAGCTAATAAAGCCAATAAACACCATCACCAACACCACGGTCTGTCTGAATATCATAGATCTAGCACCTTTACGGCATCTTGAAGGCGACATTGTATTTCTACCTGAATGCATTGCGAATAGCATTTCTCGAATCAAACGTTTCTCTTCTCACCGAGAGCCCATTCAACACGCTTTCGAAAGATACCCCGCTAGACAGTTGTATTGTTTGTTCTCCCTGCTCCTCAGCTCCCTCATCCCTGCGGCTGAATCATTGCCCCCGGCTTGCCACGACGAGCGAATGCAACAGATCGAATCAAGGATAAAATTGACCGTATACTTCGCATTCGCAGACGACCATCATAATGAGTTCCTTTCTCACAACAGTGTTAGTGCTCCTGACCTAAGACGCCTGGCACACGCCCAAGCCATCACTGCCCGACGCTTCAGCGGCCTCTAGGCTCTTCTTCCCTCTCACTTGTGCCCAGCCTATATACACTCTTCGCCGTGCGAGAGAAAGCACTAATCCTTGACCGACACGCAGAAACCAGCGGACACGCAACCAGTTCCGACCCCGAGCTCCCGGCCGCGGCGGCACGACGAGCCACCAGCTCCGCCAATATGCAGAAGCTACTCTCGGAGGTGGAAGCCTACGCAAAGTCGTCAAGCTACCCGAAGGCGAAGATGAGAATGAATGGCTAGCTGTGAACAGTAAGGAGCCGGGACTTCTTGGGCGCGGAGTTGAGAGAAAGAGAGAGAGAATCTAACGTCGAGTAGTGGTGGACTTTTACAACCAAATCAACCTCCTCTATGGCGCCATTACCGAGTTCTGCTCCCCGCAGTCCTGCCCAGAGATGAAGGCGACAGACGAATTCGAGTACCTCTGGCAAGATAGCGAGAACTACAAGCGGCCGACCAAGATGTCTGCGCCGGCGTACATCGAGCAGATGATGGGTTGGGTGCAGAGCAATATCGACAACGAACAGGTTCTCCCGAGCCGGATCGGTATGTTGGAGAAACTCTCTTTGCACCTACAAGCATTTTACTAACCCACCTCGATTAATAGGAGTACCGTTCCCCAAATCCTTCCCCAGTCTCGTCCGCCAAATATTCAAGCGCATGTACCGAGTTTACGCCCACATCTACTGCCACCATTACCCCGTCATTCGCGAGCTTGGTCTGGAGCCCCACTTGAACACGAGCTTCAAGCAGTATGTGCTCTTCATTGATGAGCATAACCTCGCGAGTGGAAAGGACTTTTGGGGCCCGTTGGGAGATTTGGTGGATAGCATGCTCAAGAGTGATTGATGCAGGTTTCATCGTGTTGTTTTGTTGGAACTTTTTCTCTTGTTTCTTTTGGCCTGGCGTTGGGAGACTTCATGTTGTTCGTAATTTTGTTTTTCGCTTGGAGATGAGTACATGATTGTTGCGCAGAGAAATAGGATTATCAGAGAAAAGACATTGTGCAGGTACACGGTGATAACTGTTTGGAAGCCCCATGTTTCTGGCGTTGCTCTTCAGATGCGAATTAATTCAATTGAGGCTCAATCATCCAAGGCCTGAGCTTTCACCAAAAACACCCAAAAACAACCTTGCATCACCCGGCAATTTCCGCATTGTTCCTGGATCGGAAGCATTACATAACCTAACCCAAGAGCACCAAGAATCCATGCCTCACATCCCAGGCATCAACCCGTTTTGCCGAGCAAATCCCATTTCCGAAGCACAAACCGGAGACAAGCCTTTGAAAGCCTCATTCAATTGAAACTCCGTTCCCTTGCCCATCCTCGCAACACCTCGCCCCCTTCGTTTCTCGTCCGCCCTCCCAGAGACAATAATATCCGCCGCAATGTTCTCGAGACACGCCCTCATCCGATCCGTCCGCGCCGCGACCGCCCAGCGGGTGGTGCCGATGCAGCTCAGGACTTACGCCGCGGCTGCCGCGACCGAGAACGTCAGGGCCCCCGTTGCCGTTTTTGGACTTGACGGAACCTATGCCACTGCCCTTGTAGGTCGATTCCGATAACAATTGAAAGGAAGATGTTTTCCGGATGGTCATTGGGGGTTTAATTGGTGTTCTCCGAGCATGGATGGCGCGAGGAAAAATCAGCCTCATGTAGCACCGGAAAAACTCATGATGATTAAAAAAACGCCTCAATTGGTTCTAACAAGAAGAAACTCAACAGTACACCGCCGCCGTCAAGACCTCCACCCTCGACCCCACCGCCCAGGCCCTCGACACCCTCGGCCAGATCGTCGCCCGCGACGTCAAGCTCCAGAACATCCTGGCCGCGCCGACCCTCAAGCCCGAGGACAAGAGCGCCATCGTCGCCGAGCTCGCGAAGCAGGCCGGCGCCGGCAACGAGACCGTCAAGAACTTCCTCGAGACCCTCGCGGAGAATAACCGCCTCGGACTGCTCGGCGGCGTTTGCGAAAAGTTTGGAACTTTGATGTCGGCGGCGCGTGGTGAGGTTGAGATGCGTGTTACCAGTGCTCAGGTATCGTATCGCCTACCCCTAGGGATATGCTGCTAGGTGTTTTTAGGAGGACGATTGCAATGGAGAATGGACATGATGCTAATGAGGGGGATATCTTTTAGCAATTGGATAACAAGACCCTCAACCGCCTCGAGACCGCTGTTGCCAAGTCTGCGTACGTCGGTGCTGGCAAGAAGCTCAAGGTTACCAACGAGGTATGTCGGCCTTTCATCCTACTCTCTCTCTCTCTCCTCTCGAGAAGAGGAGAGAGAGGACATATATGCAACAACTTCCCTAACACCCGCTTTCTTAGGTTAACCCTGACATCCTCGGTGGACTCATCGTCGAGATCGGCGACCGAACAATCGACCGCAGCGTCTCGGCCCGCCTCGCCAAGCTCAACAAGCTCCTCACTGACTCCCTGTAAAAAGCGTTTGTATACTCCTCGAACGAAAAAAAGAAATCCTCTTTGTTGATAAAGCCTAAATAAAGAACCTCCGGACCACAGTGAGTGGGAGGTTCTTGTCCTTGACTTATTTTTTTTTTTTTGTCATTTTCTTTTTCCTTATTCCTTCGATCTAGACTTGCTCCTCCCCCCCTCATCGTCTTGATTTGGTGTGGAGTCCCAAGCTGGAGGACGAGGGGGAGCGGAGTGAAAGGAATGGGGAGAAACGTTGGGAAGGAGATGTGTGGGCTGTGAGGGTCTGTGTGCATTATGGGTTCCAAGAATAGAATGCATCTTCTACCAACCTGGTTTGCCCGGTATCATGAAATGAGGAGTGAGAGATTGTGTGCCCAAGGGCTGCTCTATGCGATGATTCACAGGTCCCTTGTGTGAGCCTGTAGGACAAACGCTGCTATTGTCCTCTCGAGGAGAATTGCAGTCCCAGACCCCTTGAGCTGTTTATTGCCTTGCGAATCGCCATGTCTCTGGCGAGCATCCGCCATTCCTTCATCTCCTGCACAAAGACGGTTGAACCCTGGACCGTCAAGGCTTGATCTTCATGGAGAAGCGCTTCCAGCGAACGCTCCCTCTCGCCTGTGATGTCTTCGGTTCTCCTCGGGGATGACCGCCGACGTGGACGGATGAGCGCAGACTTACTCAGGGATCAACGAGAACTGCCATCGTTCGACAAGCATCCATGGTTCCACTGTCAATGACTGAGATGTGTGTCCGAGTTACAAAGGAACGATCAGGACTTGCTCCCAGCATGTTGGTGGACTTACTAAAGCGACATGACATCGAATGCCTTCAAAACATCATCCTTGGGCAAAACCCATAACCTCCCCCCCGTTTCCCTAACCCCCAACCTAACACCATCCCTCTCTAAGCGTCGAACGAGCGTCACCAAGTCCACGAGCTCTAGAATCTCCCAACCACTTCGAAGTCCCCCCCCCCCAAAATCCCACCCTCACCCACATCGAACGTAGATCACCCCCAAAGCCACCTGAGCATCACCACCCATCCAACCCAGCAAAACATCTACACCCACAAAAAGAACCCAACACACCCAACCCATCCTCACCCCCTCCCACAAAACCCTTACTCATCACGCTTCTCCCCCTCGGTGAACAACCACGGTATAGTCCCCCAAGACCCCCCTACTAGTTCGGCGATTAACCCACACCCCCCGCGGGATCTCAAACCACCCCAAAGCAAAACGGGAACCGAAGCCTCTCATCCCCAAGAGAAGAGAGAGCCATGTGCTCACCTTCCCCTTCAAGCATTACCACTCCCCCTTGCCGTAACTGCAAGGTACCAGGCGGAAATCCCGCAAAAAAGGCCTGATAAAAATTTAGAGTCTTCACCGAAGACCCGCGTGGGGGGGGAGAGGTCATGGAGTACACGGTCCGCGCCGAGTTAGCCGTCCGGGAATGGATCCTTTCTTTTTTTGTGTTAGGTTTGGCGTGCCGTTCGAGTCGGGACGTTCATCCAACGTTGATATTGCTGCTTTCGTCAATCTGCATGGCCGTTTCTTACAGGCGCCAAGCCGACCGCGATCGAAACCGTCACCGAGCACAAGAAGAATTACCTCAAAGGGACAACATTATCTTAAGAGCCCGTATAGCGACCATGAACCAATAAACCGACATGTTATCGTGAGTAGAGTTTTTGTTCATTCATGAATCCAGATCGGAAATAAGCCCTTACTAGAAGAGGAGCTTGCGCTATCTGGCGGTATGCATATTTCCCACCATACGCTTTGCCTTGCCTAGAGTTTCTCACTGTTTAGGGTCCCCCCGCAGCCAAGAGGCTTCCACTCTTTTGACCGAGGGATCTTAATAGGAAATGAGTAGTGTGACTACCTGCCCAACCTGGATAGATGACTGGAAGAGCTTTTCAAAAGTATCTTGAAGTAATAGTGACTTGTCATCCTGTGGCAGGAGGGGCAGGGTTAATCTGCCCCTCAGATTCCTTCTTCATCTGTGAGTGAAATCGAGGCAGAAATCGTGCATAAGGTCAACCCCCAGCGCCGACACGAGTTCAGCCACCATCATTTTGATGTTTGGGGAGTCATCAATTGTCAGATCGTGCCAGACAATAAGATCAGACGTCCTGTGGAGCGAGCCATTCACGCCAAGCCTCAGGAAGACATCATCCAGGTCTACCTCCTTCATCTCATCTAGACTTGGGATTCCAGGCATCTTCTTCGTAAACAGGAGGGTCTCACCCTCGTCACTACTCGCATCACTCCCGTCCTCGTCTGACTTATGGGCTTCTTCTTCTTCTTCTTCTTCTTCCTTCTCTTCTTTCAATGGAGGTGAGGATTCGGAAGCCTTTCCCGCATCGCCACTGGCCCCGTTCACCTTCTTCGTTTGCCCGCCTTTAAGCGCCTCCGAGATTCCCACATACGCCCCCCTGTCGAGGATGGCCAGGACCTGAGAGTCCAGGGGTTCCCAGGCAAGGGTGTCCGGGTCAAGGATGAACTGTGGCGAGTAATCAATCTTGTACCTCATCTTTGGACAGTTGTGGATGTAGAAGCCGGGATACCACCACTTATACTCCTCTTCCTTGGCTAGAACAATCTCTCTTAGCGCACCCAATTTCCCGGGTGCAAACTTGTGAATAGATTCGTGATAGAAGAAATAGACGGCACTGACACATTGAGGAAGCAGATCAATCACTCCGACGGCAACGAGATCGCCGTCTATCCGATAGCATTGATGAAAGGACCCAAGGCGTCGCTTTCTCCCGGACTTCAAGGTTTCGGTGCGCCTAGTAATTGGCGAGTTGCATAGGAAGCGAGTAAATCCGTTTCGACTGACCGATTCTTGGGTCTCTTTGTGCACCTTCATTTGGTAGTTTTCAAACACCTTGTATTTTTCTTCCGTGAACGAGTCCTCCTCTATCGTGACGGAAAACTCATGGCTCGGCGATGGAGGCGTTTTCAAGGCACCAATTTCGGCCTCGTGAATCCTCTCGGTTAGGTCAAATACATTATCTCGCTTTTTTGCCTCTTCGCGTGACCGAGGATAGAGGCGGGCTGCTTCACGCGCATAAGCCTCGCCGATGATATGCCTGTTGAATCGGTTTATAGTCTGACGCTGATCCTTCGTTGGGCAGAATAGGTCCGTATCCAGGCGGAGGGTGTAGTGGGGGCAGCAGGAACTCCGGGGATCCGGCCGGTACAAGAGACTTCCAGAACGTCTCCATGTACGGTCGAGCAGGGATTGGTAAAACTCCGGCGTCAACGAGACAGCCGAGGCATAGTAGGAGTAACCTGCATTTCCACCCCAAAAAACCCGGTCAGATCTCACATAAACTGAAAACCAACAGAGCGAGCACATGCGTTTCCGGGGACGAACAGGGAACCTTCACGGTTCCCAAAACGGGGAGGACATCGGGGAGGGGTGTGGCACAAGGCCGAGAGAAGTACAGAGGCGAGGTGTAGGTGTAAGTTTCCCATCAAGGCCAGCCAGCGCATCCTCTGTGCTGGGCCACCGTGGGGGTTAAATGGGGATGACTGACTTTTCTTACGTCCTCCTCCACCGCAATAGCCACAGTTAGACGAGTTCGTATAACCTGCAATAGGAATATTAGCAAAAAAAGAAGTCTGGGCATCAAACCACATGGGGCAGTCTGGCCTCAAAGAAGAAGGGCGAGGCGTGGATCACATAATGAATACGCAGAATGGGCTGGCATGACGGGAAAGTGTTATCAAAGAGAGAGACGCTATAGGTCGCTCGCTCGCTCCAGGCGTGGTGGTCGTGGAGCGGGACCAGCCAGAATCAAGAATCGGGCCTGCAGTTATACGATTCTCGGTGGTTATGAAACGCATCTCACTAAGAATGCGTTGTGGAAGCTTTGCGGTCTGCCAACCAGGAGCGTAGTTTAAGCACCTGATTCCTAAACACGCATTCCATATCATATCCTGGTGTGCTTCAACAACAACAAACACCTTCAACAGAAAGACAGGCGCAGATGCAAGAAATGCAACCGGTAATGGATCATACAGAATCGAGGAATTAAGCTGGGTGAGCGTGGGGGTAAGCTCTGCCCGCGATTCGACCTCTATCCCCAGAAGGCGAGTTTGCGTTGTCCACCTGATTCTAATTCTTCGCTCCCCAGAAAAGGCAATGTTTCAACACGCCGTACAGGCCAGCCCGAGAAAGCGGTAACAAGGAATCCTCAGTGCAAAGCAAGTCGAAGCTTCAACAGCAACATCATGCAACACGTCTTCGACACATATCGACCTGAGGTGAGGGTCCGCAGTGCTTTGCCACTAGTACGTTGGCCGGGAGTAAAAATGCAAACGTTTGGCGGGCCTGCATGCAGGTAGATGTTGTGCCATGAGGAGAGGGAGCAATGGTGCTTGGAAGGATTGCTTGGACCAAGAAAGCATGCAATGGAGATGAGGGGGAAATGCTTCCAGAAAAAAAGAAGAACGAGCCAACGGCGTGCTGGAGATCCTGCACGGGTTCAAATGGTTGGAGGAGACGAATGTGGAACAACTCACCAATGGGGGATATATAGGATAATGCAGCTCCAGGGGTTCGCGCATCCGCATCGTCCATTGCATCCAATACTACCCGAGCCGAGGGCAGCTAAGGTAATCTAGCGGCCTCTCGGGGTATCGACTTTCGAGACGAGAAACAAGACTCGCTTTCTTCTTAGTCGTGTTGATGTCAGCCGAGTTCCTTGTCAGTGCAACAGTGCAACAATGCCTATCAAATGCTAGTTTGAGCGAAATCCGAATGTGGGGATCCCATCTCATAGTAGTGGGGGGTGTGGGTAAGAAAAAAGAGACTGATATCAATGGAAGAGGTCAATTCGTGCCGGGAAACGAAGTCGCCTTGCCCCAAAAGTATGAGGGATGCATTGGATTAGGATCTTTTTTTCCTTCTTTTTCTTTCCCTTTTCCCCCGTGCCTGCAGATGGGATACAACAACGCATCGTGAAGGGGAGAGGGAATGGGTGCTCGTTTCCTTGCGCTTCTCTTCTCAACTGAATGGTTGGCGGGGAAAGAGGGGTTTCCTGGAAGACTAAGCGGGGCGTTCTGGAATCGGGCAATGTCGTGGTGTCTTGTTCAAGTTGTGTCCGCTGTGTCCGCTGTACAGTTGATGAAATCAGGATACTTACTGTCCAGATGCGTGAGATGAGCCTGACTTGTGGCTTGTTAGGCGACAGTTGAGCTGACACTTGATGCTGGCAGGAATGATGACAGACAACAGGCTGGAGGGGAGGGGGGAAAAAAAGCCTAGTCTCGGTGATTGCGGTCTCGTGGGCTGTCGTGAGCTGTCGTGTGCCTGTGCACAGGGCCGTTGAAAGCTCAATTTCTGATGCCAGAAGGTCCGTTTATAGCTGGCCAGGCGGGCTAGGCGGTGTGGGAGAGAAGAATGTGGAAGGGTGTGGTGAATGTGGCGACACCTGTTGAAGTGAACAAGTCGTCAAGTAGGCACCCATTAGGCTGCTGCTACTGCTGCTGCTGGGACTCGATTGGATTGGGTCTGAGGAGCAAGGATACTAGAGAGGAATCGAAAAAAGATTCCGTATTGAAGCGTTATGAAGCGGGGGGAACACCGACTGGTCGCCCATCAGGTTGGATGGCTTCTTTCTTGTGGGATAAGGCCCTAGGAAATAGCGTACTCCGTACTGCAGCATGGAAAAACGGGGGTGGGGCAAGATTCGATCAATTGATACTGGAAGAAGCACGCTCAGTCTCTGATCAATGTATCGACGAGATTGGATGTGTGCTGTTTGTGGTCGAGTTGAGCTGACACTCTGCGCCAGTTGCATTAGAGCGACTCTGAATGCCAACTCATGATCATGTACCCAGTACTTCGTACTTTGAACAATGAATGCTAACATTTCACGCTAGCCTCGGCCGGGGTTTCTTGCTGGGCATTTTGGTGGCGAAGAATCAGTCAATGGTGAAGTTGCAATTGTAGATTATAAGGAGCTACTTGAGCTGAGTGAGTTTGGAGGCATTGATAATGTAAAAGTTCAACTCGGGGAATAACTCGTAACCTCCTCTTCGAGGGAGGGTCGTTGTCATCAGATGCCATCTGCAAAAACCCCCGGTTCAATTCACATTTCGATGAATGAAGTCACAGTCAGGTGTGTAATAAACTACAGCGTACTGAGGTAAAGTAGAAGGTATAGTTTAGAAGGTACGAAGTAATGGGAAGGAACTGGCCCACTGGTCAAGTCTCTGTTCTCGCAGGTGGAGAGATCAATCAATCATGTCCTATTCTTGGCAGCGTCCCTTACATGTGCCAGCCACATCGCCTGGGACTCGTCCAGACTTGACAGGTTACTTCAAGACCCATCGGTCCTTCCATCATGCCAGCTCCTTACCTTGCAGTTGAGACAGGGCGATCTCGATAATGTTTAGAATATCAGGTATCAAGTAGTACTTAGGAGAGCTGTCCCGCTCCTCCTTCGGCAGTAACTGCCTTCCGCATCGACCTTCCGGCCGGTTGACCGTTTACTTTCTTGTATACTTGGATAGACGGGACTTAGAGGGCCCAGGCCAGGGCGCTCTTGCTGTCCCATCAATATTATCAAAGCTAGTCCCTTGCCCGTGCCTTCCGTGTATGATATTAGTGGGGCTGAGATGGAGTTGGGTTCTTATTTTGCTCGAAGTAGTGTACAATGGTATCGCGAAAGTTGAGACTGAAACTCTAGACAGAATCCATTTAACGTTGTGCTAAAAACAGGTCCCGAGACTTTGCAACACCCTGTTGAGTGTCCGTTCGGAGAAAATGGTCTAACACCATTGGCGTTAGGAGCCCCAAGGCGATTACGGCAGTGTAATAACAATGACGAGTCAATATCAACGATGCCCACCCGAGATAACTCTAGGGACTCCTTCCAGCTGGGGGAGCGACTAGCCGGAACCGTCATTGTTGAAGCATGAAGCGTTACCACTAGCTGAATTATCCACATGAAAATGGCCTCTACTGAATCTGCAGGTACATTATACCTACACTGCCAGCGAGTGAACCTTATTCCTGAAGGATCTCGATACCTCACCCCGCCGTATCATGGCTGCTCGTAACTGTCACGACGAAGTGACGATGGACGACAGGTTTCAAACACGTGCATCCAATATCCAATCTGTGCTGTTTGTCTGGTCGGTGGTGATTTATACAGCTACCCATCCTGCCGGTGCTAGCTCAGAAGCCAGGGGACCAATCGCCAGGCCAGCATTGATGCAGATCGATCCCTCCCTGCTTAAAGCCTGGCGTGACAAGGCGGTTGTACCTCTCAGGACAGGAATGTCCTGGTGGGAACAATTCGGTTTTTTCTTTTTCTCTGGTGAACGCAGGGGAGCTTTTGGGGGACAGGACAGGAGTGACATTTGGTCAATCTTCTTCCCTTCTTCCCTTCTGTTGACCCATTCCCTTGCAAGCCACCCCCAGGAAGTTGAGAGGGGTGGTGGTATGGGCTTCAAGTTGATTTGATGTCACTTGCAAAAGCGCTTGAGCTGATTCCGACGCAGTCGGGTACATGGATAGTTTCTGGTCGGGTTCCACGCGACACTTGATTGCATCTCGAAATCCCAGATCCTAGCACTCGTATCAATGTACGAAGTAATATTCTTCTTTCGCGGGTTTACTTCGAAGTGTTAGTTGCACACCCCACCACCATCATCTCGTCTCCATCCGTAGATGGGCATTACCTTGCCTCCCCCCCCCAAACGGTCTGCTGGAGATTGCTCCTCAAGAAGTCGGCAGTATTTTCCTAACCGAGTGATTAACAGTAATAGGAATTCGCCTGACGCGTATAGATTCCTTTTTGACGGATCTTATTGCAAGACCCAAGTCATATTCTTCCTACTTCGTACTTATAATTGCCACCGAATGCCAGGTGCCAGCAATATCTGGCACGCCTTCATGTAAAGTCATCCTCCCCACGCTGCACAGTCCATACGATGATCCAGAGATCGTCTAGGATAGGACAGGACAGGACAGGACAGGGCGGGACGCAGTAATCTCCAGGTACCACTACTTTCAAATGCTTCCTCCTGCCATGTAGTATGTGTTGGCAATGGATATCCAAAAGGAACATTGGACAGCTTCGTTTGGATGCTGTACCATTTTATTTTCAATTTTATTTCCGGCTTTCCCCCACAACTATGAACTAGGCAAGAAGTCTGTCCTAAGATACCCGCATCGCAACGCACCCGTCCATGCCTACATACTACACCCTGCCACATATTTTGTCACCCCCATTCTTCACACCATGCTTTTCCGTGTCGGTCTAACATTTTGAGGGTTGCTCGACAGGGTGGCGGTATAAACCGATTTGAGCATGGGGCATGGGATGGGGCATGGAGCATGGGGTCAAGCTGTCCAAGGTGCTGCCTTGCGGCTCACGCGAATATATATAACCCGTGTACTTGCCCTGAAAAATATTGCCCTCCTCTCGCTTGGTGTGTCGATGATCTCACCAGACATCATCAAGAGTGCAGCAGGCTCCATAGTGGTCTCCAGCTCCCTTGGATCTTCCCAATTCACTTTGCCCATAGCCAGATACATCCTACGTCAACTCGTTTGCCGATCATTAGTCAATTTAAATTGTCCTTCCTGAATTTCTTCGTTCCTATCTTAGCTCTACACGCTACCACTTGCCCGTCCGAGTCTCAACGTCAACTTTTTTTTCAAGTTATTTTTTTCTAACCTCTCCGTTAGCGGCGGAGTCATCTCCTGAGTCGAAACCGGGCCTACGGCATATTTTAAAGACCATCGAGAAAACTCGAGAAGATCAAACTAAAAGGCACCACCAAGGCAACAAGTGTCACGCTAGCACCTGCCGTCTCCAAGCTGTTGTTGCGCTAGACGATACTTTTGACAATTTTGTCTTCTGCTGTTGGTACTTGGCTGGTGTGGCATTGAACCTACCTGCCGCCAGCTTTGTTGGGTATGTTCAGTTCTTTTGCGCTCCTCCCCCCTAAGTCCGGGCCCGAATGTTCGACCCCCCTAGCCAGGCCGGACAATGGGTCCATTCCTTTGACATATGAATCATAACTAAGTTCCTCTTATTGTTCTTCAGAAACTTACCACCACCTCGAGAGCTCCCGCTACTGCTAGACAGCTCAACATCCTGGTGCTGGTCTCAGCCAACCCTCGAAAACAACCAACCCAATTCTCCCATAAACCAGCTCAGACCTCGTTGCGGATGGAAGAGACAAGTTCACCACTGCTCCTCCATCAAACCCCCACGCACACCTATCATCACTCTTGGAATCTGTGGCTCTTCACGAATTTTCCAATATAAATCCCGGCCCCTTCTCGAAAACTGAACAAAAAAGAAGAGAAACAACGAAAAAAAGATAAAAAGGAACGAAAAAAAAAAAAAAAAAAAAGACGGGCAGAAAAAGAAGAAGGAAAAAAAACTGGCAACCTCGAACCTACCACATCTGGTCTTACCTCACGCCTTACACTAGACCTTGTTCTGTTCCCGTTACGGAGGCTTCCGTGAACTATTACTTCACTGGGTCTAGTACAATTGCACCGATTTGCTAAGGTCAGCCCAGAACCGAAGCTCCCCCGAGGGGTTCCAAAGCACAGTCCATGTCAAGTACATCCACGCTAACGAGTAGCCGGTACAGTGCCCCAGTTCTATTCTACTCCCCCCACTATTACCCTTGGGCTTTCCCCTTATCCCATTCGAAAAAAACCCCTTCAACTGCCCCTCCACTGAGTGGCTCCTGCACCTGTAATTTTTTTTCCCCTGCACCAGCTCCCAGCTTCCGCAGGTTGCAGAGACCCCTTCTTCCACCTATCATCGGAGAACTGCTTCTTGAACAATTCGTTTCTCGAATCGCCTTCTCGAGCTGGAATAAGGTCCTTCTCGACCCTCGTCTTCCTTTGATTCCTCCAAACTTACCAAACTCCAACGGTATCAAGGGCGCAACCATGGAGCTTAATAACTCTTGACCAAGCTCACCCTGCACGAGATCCAGCCCTCATTCCCCTTCACTTCCTTTCCTTTTTTCACCTACTTTCTTGTTTTTCTTACCTTTCCCTCCCTTCTCTGCCAGTGCCCTGAGACCACTCGAGCCTTGACCGGACCGACCTGTCCGCCTGACAGATTTGCCACTTTCCAACCTCCATTGGGTGCGCAACCTTACATCAACCGGCTTCCCGGCGCTCAAGAACCGTTGACCTCGAGTGACTGCACGCCGAAACTCACCACCGTCATGGCTGCCGCAACGAGTAGTCGGGCCATGGAATCCCGAACGGGAAGATCAAAACAACGTATGCATTTTTTTCCCTAGCTTTCCTCAAAAAAAAGTGTGTCTGGTCCTTCTGATGACCAGACCGCTAGCCTCAGGCCGGGGTCTCACGTGCACCGAGATACCCGGCATGTATCCAATTCGCTTTCCTGAAGGGAAGAAAGACCCCATGAGCTGACATGCCTTCTTGCAGGATACAATGCGAAGGGAGAGCGACTTGTCGCTGGTGTTGTCCCGTTGACGGAGGACCGGAAGTACGTCCTTCTCATCCAGTCCACTAGGAGAAAAGGCTGGGTGCTCCCCAAGGGAGGATGGGAGTCTGACGAGGAGTGCACGGAGGCTGCTGAGCGAGAGGCCTGGGAGGAAGCGGGAATAATCATTCAGATCGACTATGATCTCGGTGACATCACCGAGTCTCGGCCCCCCAAACCCTCGAAGAGCAGCTCTAAGGACAACTCCAAGGCCCTCTACCGTTTCTACGAAGCTACCGTCGTGAGGGAGGAGACCGAATGGCCCGAGAAGCACAAGCGCGAGCGTCAATGGATGACGTTCAAGCAGGCCAAAGATGCCCTTTCCGCGAGGCCCGAGCTTCAGGAGGCTCTGGAGCGGTCAACCATGAAGAAGCACTGAGCGGCAACTCGGCGGCGAAAGAGCGCGGCTAGCTGGAACTCATGCCGCGAGTCCGGCTTCCCGTTGGGGCTCGAAACAACTCTTTATTTTCCGACGAGACACTGGAGGAACCATACACGCCTTCATTCACTTCTTTGAGATATCCTCTTTTTGTCCCTTTTTGCCCTTCTTCACCTATTATGCCCTTATACGACATATCCGCTCTCCCACACCGGATGTTGCGCCCCACCTCTTTTTCTTTCCTCCCTTGAATCCCATGGTTCCTTAAAGTCCCCCAACACTTTTATTCCTCGAGCCTTGATAGGAGCCCCCAGCCGCGGTCACGGTTGGTTTGGCGTGCTGCCAGGAGCAATCGATGACCCAATCTCCCTCGAACCTTTATCATCATGATGAAATTTCGAATAATTCCTACCGCTGCCGTACCTGATTCTCTCCTCAGTATGACCGTCGAGTTCACAGAGGAGACGAATTTTCCTCTCGAGATTCTTTTTTCTTTCGGATTAAGGCAAATTATGCGTTCCCAAAACATCACCAAGAGCGGCATATACATCTGCATTTTTATCCACGGCGTTGTTGGCAGTTTATGTTTTTGACATAGAGCTTTTTTTTTTCTTCTTCTTAGATGCCCCATCCCCGCGGCTTCTCCTCCCGGCCAGCAGGGTCAACCGGAACGACGGTGGAGCAAGCAAAAAACGGAAGGAGGATATGGGACGAGAGCAGGGTCATATAGAGAGGAGGGGAAGGAAAAGAGTTCGAAGAACAACAAGGAAAATATTGAAGAAGAGACTCCCAGGAGGGCGGGACTTCGCCCCTGCCCCGTGATGTGTTTGATGGGACTATTCGAACGGATCACTGAAGCATGTCTGGGCAAATGTCTGCTGCGAAGGTTATGGTGCCATTTGCTGTTGTTTCACTCCCACACCTCGATCTAGCTCTCCAGAGCTGATGAGTGCCCGCATCAGTCGAGCGGCCTAGCACGGTGAACGGGTTGGCAGCATAGCGGACGCCAGTCTAGCATCAAGAGCCGTGGGTATAATTTTTTTTCTTTCGCCTTCTTTGTCCAGATACTGTCCTGCTTGCGCTATGTATGCTCCACCTCCTCCTTGATAGATGTTGACCTCCCGGTCTTTCGATGCATTCGGGAAACACACCCGACATGGGAGCGATGGGTTATCCCTTGCATGTTTCACCAATGTTTTCCTCAAGCATTATATTCAACAAATGATGAGATTGTATCGCATTTTCCCGTATTTAAACACATATACATATAGAAAGGGGAGGATATGAGAGACAGAAGAGTAGAGAGCCCCAGGGCGCAGCTGACTGGTAATACATTAATGTTGTACAAGATGCTGAGTTGAACAAGGTCACCCATTAGAGTTTCTAAAGAGGGATGGAATGGAGGGACACACGTCTCGCACGTACGTCATAAGCAGGACAAAGGGCAGTCCTTTACATACAGAGAGCTCCCAGCCGGATTTCATTGGTGAGATCTCACCTGCAAAGCTGTGTAACTCTAGATCTACGTGCAACCAGATTGATTACGAAAAGACAAGATGAAGTCAAAATTAAAATGTGTCATTGCAGCTGGCGGCGGACCGTTACATTTTCCACTAAAAATTTGGGTCTCCAAACTCCAAATGTAACACGTGATGGGCTGGAAACCCCACATCGATTCTACCAGGGAAATTCCGAGTTCGAGAGAGCTTGCGCATCGGCCTCTGCAAGCGACGACAACTCGTATCGAAGAGTGTCCATGATGAGGTTGAAAGGGCACTATTCATTTTGTGGACTAATACCAATTTCTGGATCTTGGTGTTCCTTTCTTTCTTGAGAACTAGGGTAAGTCCTGTATTCTTTTTCCCTACCCAAAGACGAATTGTCTTTCCTACCTCCCGCCTTACCCATGGGGTCCTATAATCATAGCTGACCAGCGCAATCGAGACAAAGCTCCCGCGAAGCTCTCTAAGCTTCTATAATCCCACAACCGACATCCTCTGCTGGTCCCCTCTTCGGCGCACACTTCTTCTTTTCGCCTAATGGCCAGCACTAGAAACCGAGACAACCAATAGACACTCCAACACACATCCGAATGACACGATGGAGAACCTAACGATATCCGATTCCGGACCCCGCGGCGGAGGAGGAGCTGCGCCTCCTCCGGCTGGAAGCGCGCCGGGTGGTCTCCAGGGCCCGCCGGTTCCTCAGCAGTTACCGCCTCAGATGTTTACGACTGCGGCGCAGCTTTTGGATCTCACAGATAGTAAGGCGAGGCAGCGCGGGGGTGGAGGGGGTTACTTCTTTCCAGCTAACTAATTTCTTCTTTTCCTTCCTGCAGAGAAGTTGATGGTTGCGCTACGTGATGGAAGGAAACTCATTGGCATACTGAGAAGCTGGGATCAATTCGGTGCGTTTGCTCAAGGGAACTGGAGACTTTGAATCATATCTCTCCGTTTGCAACGAGGGTTATAACCCCATTTTTTTTTCTAACATATGATATCCTTTTCTCGCTTAAAGCCAACCTCGTCCTCCAATCAACCATCGAACGCGTCTTCGTCCCACCCCCCCAAAAAGAAGACGGCACCATCGACACGACACAGCGCGGCCTCTACGCCGACATCCCGCGGGGCATCTTCCTCGTGCGCGGCGAAAATGTGCTCCTTTTAGGAGAAATCGACCTCGACAAGGACGACGAGCCGCCGGCGGGGTACGACGCGGCGGAGGCGGCGGTGGTGCAGAAGTTAGCAAGGGAGAGGAAGGAGGCGGAGAAGGCGAAGAGTAAGGCTAGGATTGGGAGGTTGAATGCTATTGGGTTTGAGGGGGAGCATATGGGGGACGTGCTGTTGTGAGAAGGGTCTTGGCTGTTAGGACGTTTTTAAAAGCTTCCGGGAGGAAGAGCATGGATCTTTTTTTAGAGAACGAGTTGGGGGGAAGGACTGGGATTGGGTCGTTCTCTGGGGCAGAATATTGTGAAATGCCCCTGATGGACTTGTTTTTATCTGATGAGGAAGAGCCTTACAAAAAGAGCACGTCATGTTATAGATCTTTAGATGTGTCTGGAGAACCCCTTGGTGGATGACCCGTTACGAGTAGCATCCCATGGTTATGGGAACTGACGCTAATAGTGTCTAGTTCGAGAAGTCACTCGGAGAGGATTGGCATGGTCCTTTTACAGTCACATAGATCAGAGATTGCCTCACCTCTTCCACGGGCTACAGATCTGACCAACCGAAGTTGAAATCTTGTTCCTCAGAAATGACACAAACGAAACACTATAGTAGTCTCGCCCTTTCGAAGATACGGAGCATATTACAGGCCCGAGTTTTCACAAAGTCGGCCTAAATCCTTCCGCAACAGCTTCCCAGTCCTCCGGAAAATGCGCACCCTCCTCCCCCTCCCAACCCCCAGCCATCATAGCAACCGCAATCAAAAAAGAACTCGAGCTAGGAAAATACGGCGTGGGCACCCTCGTCCCACCCAGAGGATACCCAGCATCATCAAAGGCAAAAGTCGGGTGCAAGAGGTACTCAACCGCATCAGCCACATTTCCCAACCTCAGGCTGTTCATGGCAAGCATAGGAAAATCCCAACCAAACGACTGATCTAGATCCCAAAATTCCTTGACGTGCTCAGCCGTACGATGCACGACCTCGAGGTCTAGTTCGGGGCCGGATAACGGCGGCGGGAGGAGGCCGTAGATGGCCGTCATGGCGGGGTGGTCCATGGTTGTTGCGTTGGAAACCCACATGTCGGGAACGCCTTCGTATACGGGGAACGTTCCATCGACGGTTGGAAGGGGCGCAAGGTTGTCGCGTACGTCGAGCCATTCCTGGGGTGTAGGAAGACCTTGGCGTTCTTTCCACAGGATGGCGATGTCGAAACCAAAGCGCCAGTAGGCGAGTTCGAAGGTAGGATTACGCGTGAGTCTGGGGTCCGTATTTTCGGAGGCGGGATACACGGGTGGACCTAGATCGTAGAATCCGGATTTCTCGTTCCACCAGGCGAAGGAGGCCATGAAGTCGGCGGTGTGGGAAAGTATCTCGTCCCATTTCTCCAGCACGGCGCCTTCCTCTTCTGAAGAAGAAACTGCTCGGCGGTGCTCAGTTTCGGCAAAGTACATGGGGTGAGGTTGTTGCCAGATGAGAAGCGAGTTGATCTCACCGGGAGCGTCGTTGAAGTCGGGGCCGGTCATCTTACCCCACCGGGCGCCTTTGTAGCCTTGGGTTGAGGCACGGTTGAGGGCGGCGGGGAGGAGGTCTGGGTAGACGTGGGAGAGGGAGCGGTTGAGGAGGGGCCAGTGGTTCCAGAGGGCGAAGGGGAGGGCGTGCCAGAGGTACATTTCCATCTTGCTATTATTAGGATATGAAGTGATTTCGTTGACGGACATGTAGAGGGATGAAGACTTACATGGAACTTGCCATACCAGCCGTTGTTGACGAGACCTGGAGAGACATGTCAGTTGCGAGCCACGCAATAGATCTCCTGTTGCGGCTTTGGAGAGCTCATTCTTTGTGTTCTTACCAGACTCTATCGGCGAGTTAGTACTCAATATATCTCGATATATGGATGAACGAAAGAATGAGAGCATCCCTACCTTGGGGAGGTAAATCCGACGCCGAGTTCACGGCAACCAAATACTGCGACAACACAACCCTCCTCTGCACCTCCCTCGCATCCTCCGCCCCCGTCGCCGTCAAATCCACAAAAGTGCCCTTCTCCCAAAAATCCCCCCACCATCTCTCCGCCGCCTCCGTAATCTCTTCCACCGACGCCGCCTTTCCGCAAACCTTCCTTTCCGCAAACGTAGCCGTCAGTCTCAAGGTCTCCCCCCAGCCCCGAAGTAAATACGTGTGCGTGCGCTCATACAGTGGACCAGAGACCGTAGCATCCCCTTCCCAGCGCAGAAAAACACTATAAGCCGTCTCGTCGAGGACATGCCGTACCTCGGCGCTCTGGTCGCCGATGTTGCGGAGAGTGACGTTGTGGAGCTCGCTCTGATTGTACACGCCCACAAAAGGTGCGTTGAACTTTTCGTTCACAGGGTATGGGAAGTCGAGGGAGAGTTGGAGGGCTCCCGTTGCGAGGAGGGGAGAGTCGACGGTGATGGCAACGGTGTCGGAATATGGGTCTGCGACTGTTTGGACCGTTACGGGGGTGTCTTTATATTCGAAGGACGAGGTGATGAGGCCGGTCCAGAGGTCGAGCGTTTGGGTCTTTGATGTGAGATCGTCCTCGGAAATGTCATCTGCGAATGAGAAGCCGAGGGTTCCTAGGTTGAGGCGGTGGGGGTTCTCGCGGAGCCAGTTGGAGAGATCGGGTTGGTCTTCGTTAGGCTGGTTGTAGAAGACTGGTCTTCCGTGGGTATCCCACTCGACGCCCTTGAACTCTGTAAATCCCGCATGAGTTTTTCATGTCAGTACGACCGGCTCTCGTACCTCCGAGTGGCAATTGGTGTTTAGAGCTCACCCTCTGGCGACGTCTGGTTCTCCGTCTCTGGGAGCGCAAACTTGTGCCATCCCCACGTCGACATGGTCGCGAACGGCTTAAAGGTCTGTAAGCCCGTCACATCGACGCCAAAGGCAAAGTTGCCATTTCCAACCTGCAATGGTGTTTCCTCTGAACTTCTCGTTCGTTTGGGATTGAATGCGCGAACGACTTTCTGCCTGTCGATGACCGCCGCAGAAGAGACGGCCAGGACAGCTACACAAACGAGCACGAGACCCTTCATAGCTTCGTTCCAATCTCACGCCAGACGCACCTCTCTCACGCAAATTGAGGTAACTTTGACCTCAGGACATCTTCAATTGAGAAGAAAGCGGGTTAGCGGAGCATTTACATAGTGCACCTCCCGTCATGTCTTCTCCAATTCCACGGCTAAGCTCAAGTTCCCACGCTCCACAGCCCGCATCCTGTAATATGTTCTCCCGTGAATAATTTCCTCGAGGATGAGGAAGTCCAATCCCGCATTTCCAGTGCGGAGAAAGTTGGAGCATGTATAAAGACCCGGGTACCCGCCACATCAACGACATCGTCCGTGTGGTTGCTGTATTTACCCGAATGAGCCTGCGCAGAAGAGCGGCCTTTTCTATTCTCTCTGCAGCCATGTTCTATTAAGAACCCCTCCTATCCAGACATAAACCTTCGCCTGGTTATTAGAGCTCGTGGTGTACACGGGTTCGGACATGTTAAGCTGAGGTCTTGGGATGGCGTGTAATGCGTAGTTTCAGCGCCGATTCGGCGATTGAGTAGAATAATATAGGTTTCGTCTTTTCCTACATCAAATTGAACTCGGAGAAGTAAATAAAGGAGGATGCAGTAGAGTGAACGAGAAGAATAAATAAATAAATAAAACTAAAGGAAGATGAAAAACCAAAAAGCTCGCTCGGGGTTCGCTCCCAGGATCGAACTCCTGGTTGCTTGCCGCGAGCTACGAAAATTGCAATTTTCTAACCTTCTGAGCGCTCCATTGACCACTTGGCCATTGGTCGCAGTGTCATCACTGCTTGAGCTGCTCGGTTGGAAGTTCTCTTCGGGATCTCATATATAAAGCTATTGCGGAGGTGTTCCCTATGAATCGTGGCAAGGAAGGCGCTGAGCGGAGCTCCTTCCTTCAAGGCCGGGATCACTGAGTTCGGATGAAATTATTCGCGGGTCTANAATAAAAAATAAAAAATAAAAAATAAAAAATAAAAAAGGAAAAAGGAAAAAGAATTGCAAAAAGCTCGCTCGCGCTCGCCCTCGGGATCGAATCACTGAGAGCTTGTCGCGTAGCTACGAAAATTGCAATTTTCTAACCTTCTGAGCGCTCCATTGACCACTTGGCCATTGGTCGCAGTGTCATCACTGCTTGAGCTGCTCGGTTGGAAGTTCTCTTCGGGATCTCATATATAAAGCTATTGCGGAGGTGTTCCCTATGAATCGTGGCAAGGAAGGCGCTGAGCGGAGCTCCTTCCTTCAAGGCCGGGATCACTGAGTTCGGATGAAATTATTCGCGGGTCTACCGGACATGGGCGCATACGATATTGGGAGAGTCGAGCTAAGATTCAATGTAATAGTACAATTCCGCTTGTCTCCGTGATGGACCTCCCTATATCCCTATATTCTCATATATCTTCTTCTTCTCATCGTATCATATGCAGTTCTAGCTTTTGGTTGTTGACCTCCCTCTATCCATGGGTATCGATACAGTTTTAAGTGTTTGCACACCCTTGGTGGTCGTCTACCACGACAGCCAGCGGCGGCGGTTCCTGGCTTTGTTGCCGGAATTCAAGCAGCATTTGCATCCTTTTTTCTTATTCCTGGGAGCCCCGCTGGTTCCTGAGCTTCTCCTCAAACTTGGCAAATTCATGCATGGAAATCTCCTCCTCGGGGTCGAGGATCTGATGTACACCCTTGACCTCCTCAATCTGCGACAGGTTAGTATGTATTGATTCACGCACACAACCCACAAAGGGAAGGTCAAAACTCACATAATGCATAAGCATGCCCTCAATTCCGTTCTTGAGCGTAACAGTACTCGAGTCGCACGTCCGACAAGCCCCACGCAGCTTCAAAGAGACATACCCGTCCTCGAACCCACGATACTCGATATCGCCACCATCCTCCTGGATCGCCGGCCTTATCCTAGTGTCCAAGAGCTCCTTAATCATCCCCACGACCTCGCTGTCGTTCTCGTCATAGGCGAGGCTATCCTCCTCGGCGGCGCTAGCACCATCCTTGCCCTCTACGGTGTTGACGAGAGTCTGTCCGGACGTCACGGCCTCGGTGATGAGCGCAAACACCTCCGGTCGGATATGCGCCCAGTTCGCGTCGGGGTCCTTCGTGATCGTGATGAAGTCGGTGCCGTAGAAGACCGACGTCACACCCTCGACGTTCATCAGGTTCGCGGCCAGCGGCGAGGGGTAGGGAGGGGAGATGGTACTCCGGGGGTTGAGGTACTCGATGTACGGGACGTTGATGGACTCGGGGATCACGCGGTGGTTGGGGACGAACTTGACGGCGTCGGCGTTGGGGGTCGGCTCGGTTTGGATGAAGATTGTGCGGGCGCCCTGGGGACGAAGGAGTGCGCCCGCGAGCGCGGGAGTCGTGGCTCGGGATGATAACCTTGGCCTTGTCGTCGCCGATAGGATGGGGGCCGCGGGTCTCGTCCGAGTGTGAAGCTGTCGGGCGACGTTGCGGGAGGTTGTGGTCGCATTCTTGGGTATCTGGACGAATTGCTTTGTCCTGGCCAGCAGGCCCAGAGCGGATCTGGGGTTTGTTCGCGAGGCCATGATTCTTAATGACGATTTCTGGCAGGTTTGAATTGCGTGGCAAGTATCAATTGATGGTGTTTAGGAGTAGCAAGGGAGAGATGTTTATGTGGTTATCTTGGTTATAAGGCCATGCCGAAGATTGATCCTTGCTCTGGCGACAGTATCTCCGAGGAAGTGTTGTTGCAATCCGGGAGGAATTCCGTCCGCCTTTCCAAAAGGTGCGCCCGGAAGTTCTTATTTGATAGGCCGACTTGGACCGAAGTGCTGGGAAATATTATTAGTAATTGAGAGGCGTTGAATGGAAAAAATATTTTATGACGCAACCCAGAAGTAATACAAACGAGTTGTACTTCGTACTTTGTACTTTAGAGACAAATCCCACCCTTCATTGGTCTGTGCTTCGGTACATGTTGACTTGCTTTTTATCTTTGCCATCTTCCTGCAAACAGAATCTCCCACTTTCACAGAGCCAATCAGCTTCATCCTTCCGGAGCTTTGATTTGGGGTCTTTTCAGGGACAAAAAAGCTTCGCATGTGAAGTTCTGCAAGAGAAAAACCACCAAGCTTTGCTCCTTCTCCCGATCACAACAGACAACACAACACATCCTCATTCTCTTCCTTGATTCTACCTACACCTTCACATCCCCAGAAATAATATTCAGAACCCCTTCAACTTTTGCTAGGCTTATCATTGCTATATTCACAGTTGTAGCTCTCACAATCACCAATCGAAATGCCAAACCCGGCAGATCCTGAGACACGACCTGAGGAGGGCAAGGCGAACATGGGCGAAACATCACCAGATTCAAACGCGCCGGCCATCCCTACGAACTCAAAAAAACGAAGTTCTACGGAGCCCGCCTCAACAGCGAACGCATCTAGATCTGGAGTCTGCGGAATCTGCAACGTCAATGTCGGAAAATACAAATGTCCTAGGTGTCGCATGCCATAGTGAGTGCCCCTCCCCATTCTCTTCCCCGTCTTGCTGGGCACCTACGCCTGAGAATTACCCATTTCCACACGCGGCTCCGTTTACGAAGCTCAATCTCCATTTCAAATGTTCTAATCATTGCGCACTTTTGACGCGCCGCTATCTAGTTGTTCAGTAGCATGCAACAAAACACACCGAGAAAACCACCCTCCCGACCCCGAACCACCCCAAGCACTGCCCTTAGACCCAACGCCCAAAAACGCCGAGAAACCAAAAATCGACCCGTCTAACCCCTTCGGCGTCCTCGAATCTTCCGAAAAATTACAAATGCTATTTAAAAAATATCCTCATCTCCCCGACCAACTGCTTCAGATCCACGCTGCCACGCAACCACCGTCGCAACCCACCACCCAACCGCCGGCCTTCTTGGGCGGAAGACCGTCCGAGAGTCGTCGCCTTGAAAAGGAAATCTGGAGTCGAGCCACGGGTATACGGAGAGGTAAAGAAGCCCTTCATCGCGCGAGGGAAGCCGCTGGGGAGGAAGGCGAAGCCGTACGCGAGTATCAGGAGCTCGTGCTCCATCTTCTCTCGAACAGAGAAGAGGGTGAGGGCGCGGTGCAGAAGAGGTTGGCGGATCAGGATAACGAGCTGCTCAGAAATTTTGTGGCTGCCGAGACTCGTCGGTCCAAGGATTAAAGGGGAAACTTGGTTTTCGAGGGAAGGTTTTAACCGTTGTTGTGATGGTAATGTTTTGTCAAATTTGACCGTGGGAATAAATGCGACCGCCTCTCCCCCCTAGTGGTGCTCTTTGAGGTGTGTTGATAACCTCCTAAAGGGCCACAGAGACTTGATCCTTGGCGACCTGGGCGATTCGGGCACCTCGAGGGCTTGGCGCGAGGCGGCGCGGCTGCCCTCGTTCGTGTCATCACTGGCCTCTTCAAATGAAGCTCCAGAACTATCGTGTGAGGACCTCCTGCCAAGGCCAAACCTCCGCAGCAGCCGACTCGACCTTCGCTTCTTGCTGTCATCTTCGTCGCCATGGGTCCAGTCGGCATGGTGGTCTCTCCAAATATAGGGAACTGAGGGATCCCCCGATGCTCCCTTAGAACTGGCTCCCGCCCGTGGGGCCTTCCCGGTCGGCTTGTCCCGCGTCTCGCCCATATCACCTGTGCTCATACGTCGCGCGGACGTCCCCATTTCATGGGTGGACATGGGTTTTGACGGTGACTCTATCATCGTTCGCCTGTTTAGCTTCTTGGCCTCGGCCGCAGCGGTGCCGGATTCGAGGATGGTAGGTTCTTGGATTCCATCCCAGACGCCTTGAGAAGCTCTGATTGGAGAACGACGCTTCTGTGTGGTGGGGGAGGCCATCGACGCATCGGGTTCTCCGAAGAACTGCATAGACCCACGGCGTGGCCTCTGCCGGGGTACGACTCGGTCATCTGCCATCATGCTGCTTGGGGGGGCGGCAGTGGTGCCGAACTGGGCAGGAGAATGTCTTTGCTGAGGAATGTAACGTGCATCGTGGGAGACACGCCTCAAGGTGGGGGAGGGACCCGTGACTTTTGTCGTTGGCGCCGACTTAAGGCTGGCCACATTGACGGAAGCACGGCGGGAAGGCGGGAAGGCTGAAGCAGGTGGTGCCTCGACGCCAGAGGCTCTATTCGCAGTGCTAGGGGGCGGCACCAAAGAGGGCGACTTGACGTCGGCAGATTCGGAGCGAAGGGGGCATACCGTGTCGATTCTAAGCTCGGGCACGCTCGCCGCCTTCTTGGAACGGTCGGGTTGTTTCCAGGTAAAATTGTCAAACTGCGCCTTTCTCGCCCTCGACGATCTGAACCCCAACGGCTGCTCGAGGGATTCTCTCTCGGTTGATCCTTCGGAAGAAGGTTCCGTAGGAGTAGCAGATTCTTCGTATTCTTCATCGGATTCGGGAAGGTCCGGGAGGTGTCGGGGGTACTCCGCCGCGATGCCCCTGATCCTGTGCCGTACCTCTGCGGCTTCTCGCTCGGCCACGACGCCTAGGAGGCGTTGGTAGAGATCCTCCGGGTCGAAGGGGCGTCGGCTGTTCGATTGGAGGGCTTGGAGATGTTGTTGTTTGGTGGATTTGGGGCCGTAGGGGTGGAGGCCGAGGAAGGGGGCGAAGTTTCCTTGGGAGGTCATGATGGATCCCAGTTACGGGTGTAGATAATGTGGGGGGTGGATTATCTGTCGAGATGAGGAGATATATTTTCTATGATTTTGAGAAGAAAAGGGAAGGGTTGAATGGGAGTGGAAAGGTGGGAGGGAATATAAGCACTCTTCCGATTTGTATTTATCAGCCCTCTCACTATCTCTCGCTATCTACATACCCGCCAAGGCTGAACTCCAAGTAAGAGGCGAGTCCGATCCAAACGTGTAAAAGGATCCGCCTCTTTCCTCGATCTTACGCCAACCGTCTCTCCACAAGAGTCAAAAAGCGTCATGAATGGTCTGTGACCCCTTTCCCATCAATGGCCGTCCCCTAAAAAAGTCCCCATCCTACTACGTCTATCTCCAGGAGGGAACCGATCTGCGGGTGGGTAAGAGAAGGAGAAAAAAAATCGTATGCTTTTTACTCACTCCACGGGGAACTTAGCCCCACAGCACGCTCTAGTACCGTCAAGGGCAACGAGAGAGATCCTTCTCCCCAGAATGTTGGCGTACATGGCGTTCCGCGCATGTTTTTGGTTGGGCCGGCGCCGAAGGCTATTTGGTTAGCGTGGGAGGAGAGTTTTTGGGGGATTTTCGTTGGACGGGGGAGACATGGTGTTGGGATTTAAGGTTGAGCCCTTTGTGCGTGATGGCGAGATGGCAAAAGTTTCTGTTGTGCGGATGATTGCGTGCTCTGCGCATGTATCTTTGGTGTGCAAATGTCGATCTTGGAGTTTCTGAGAGGTTCAGATTGTACGAATCGAAGTTGCTAGACAAAAACTGAGAATGGCCCATTGGAGATTGAAGTTGAGAACGGGATTGACAAGTCCATGTTGGAATTTACTTGGCGTCCGGGGGGGACTCGCGCATCTTCCCACCCGAAGACTGCTGCCTCCCCCGGCACCGACGGCAGCGAACGGGCTTCCCGGCCTACGGCGTCGGCGGGACGAGGAGAGAATAGGATAGGCCAAAGAAATGCCGGGACTTGTTCTTGGCGCCACAAAGAGATGAGGCCTTGCCTGGCCTGGGCCATTCTGGGGTGGATCCAATTCAAGGACGAGATAAACTCGAGCGAATAGAAATTCTTTTCTATCACTCGTGAGGAAAGCAGTTGAACAGTTACAGCCACAGACTCTTCTATTTGGTAGAATCGATTGTTAGCTTATGATTTAACATCTATAATGAACATTGAGATTCATATTACTTCTTTAGATACCCCCGTTTGGCGGGAAACGCCCAGCCGAGACTACTTCGTACGGTACCAAGAAAGGATCTAGACCGTCTCGTTATCTCGATCAATCCAGCCTTCATACCAGTCGTCGAATCCAGCGGGCCCCATTTATGTCCAGGACGTATAACCAAGACGCCTACCGAGGTAGTCCGCCTCGGTTCCTCCCAGCCTTGCTGGAGAGGGACAGAATAAATCTTAAGCTGTCGCGCATCCTAAGCCGTTACCAAGACTTGACTCCCACACTGACGAAAGGGAGATGCATGACTTCATACTTTAGCTCCTTAAGGAGGGGAAATTCACCTTGATAGCGAGGGGAGGCGGCGCCAATATTCCTACGCAATTTCCGGCTTCCGGATTTACAGCCGAGTCGCATAGCTTGGATTTGCTGTAGACAATGCGCTTTCCTCTGCCGTCGTTGTATCATACCGTCTGCTCAAGGCTCTACGGCACGGAGTATCAGCTTGCCACCAGCTGCGCTCCTCATTCCACACAGCCATCGGATCTACTGCCATATGTTCATTGAAATGAGGACAGATTGAGGATTGACGACTGAAGAGTCGAATACGGATAGAGGCCTTTTGCCCGCCGGGGGGCAGTTGTGACTGAAAATAAGGAGAAACCACGGGGATTGGAAGGAGCCGCCCGTAACCACCACATCCTCGGACAAACGATGAAGCCTTATAGCCCCGGATCAAAAGCTGGGTCAGTATCGGGTAGCTCCAGGTGGCTGCACCTCTACGAGCGCTCGTGTCAAGACCTGAACAAGGCGTCATACGTTCGAAACCGTGAATTTTTTTTTTTTTTTTTTTTCGCAACTTTGTTTTCCTCCTTCTTCATTTTGTTGGGGGGAAGGGAGGGGGGGACTGATTCTCCGTCTTCCAACCACGAACTCACATCAATTGATCTACCATTCTCCAAAGGAATTTGATCCCCTAGATAAACTACCAATTCACCTGTTCTACTGACAATGCCATAGTGCTGTGTGGTGATGGCGAGCATATGCCGCGGAGACTTCATGGTGTTAGTCCAGCACCGGGATTCATCCCGACGCAGGGAGGGGGTGCAGACAGGCCTTGAGGTTTCAAGGTACGGGGACTCGAGAAGCCGACCGGATTTTCTACAAACCTGGTCCCGACTTGTTGTCCTCCATGTAGAATCATCCCTCTTCTTCCAGTCAGACATGTATTATAACTGTGGTAGCTTATACGGCTGTCTCTTTTCAATCCCCACGGACTGGCTCTGTCATCTCTTCTTGTAGTGACTCCAAGTCAACTCTCCCGGGATAGGATTCGGCTACTTTCTCGGACAGGCCGAGGGAACGAGAATAAATCTTCACAATACTAACATGCTTTGCTGGGGTGGAACTAGCTCACGTCCGGGACCCAGGAGACTGGCGCAGATGGAGATACGGACAGCCTTTGCAGTTCAACTTGAAACAGAATTTCAGCCTTACGAGGAACGAGACGACATGGATGAGTGTACGAAGTAGTTGGCCATAGCCTTGTTTAGAAAGTTATGCTGGACTGATCTCCGTTCAAGGCAGGAATAATGTACGAAGTACACTACACTAGTTCGAGGCATTAAACCCTGAAAGACGAGCGGTTCCTGCAGGATGCTGTGGCACCCGAGATGCAGTGATCCGGTGTGTATGCGGCTCAGCTCTGCGTTACGAAGTTGGATTTATGTACGCCATCCAACGGATTTTCGTTGAAACGTGGAGCTCTCTGAGGAACGACGCCATCTTTTGCTCAAGAGTATACAGAGGACGGGGCCGAATGGACTTTGTGGGGGGAGTCGGGATTCATTTCTGTCGAGACCTACAAAGGTACCATAAAACTCTTGTCGGCCGTGGCTTTTTGGCGTAGCAGCCGAGTCAACCCGACGCTCTTCAACGATTAGGAAGCCTGGCTCTTGCCGCGTCGAAGATGTTGAGGAACGCCACTCGTGTGATTCTAATCAAACTCAATTGCGAGTCTCGGCACCGGGCCTTTGCCAATCCGAGGAACCAGCCAGTTCTATGATTCCTAGTTTTCGTTGCCTGCTCCTTTCCATGAAGTCGGAGAATTTCATAGCGACAGGGGTTCGAAGAGAAACACATAGGATATTGTTAGTTTAGTTACCGTAGTATTATTGAGCAGTTGAAAAACTTGAAACATAAATGCCCGAGGTCCAATTTGCACACTTCATCAGGAATCACCGACATCGATGCTGGGGAATGCATGCGGTACTACCGCTGTGACACTATCCGCCGTGGACGGTCTTAGACGGCTTCTTCGCTGTGCAACGCTGCTGCATCATATATCCATCCGACATTGTCCTTCCTTACCAACTCGTCGTCGCTGACCGTCTTGATAGAGAAGCCATGCCGGTCGAGGAACCAGAGAGGGCACTTATACATACTACACTAGTACAAATACGCTAGAATGCAATGATACACATTGATGATCTGGATCAGCGCTGCACAATTGCGTGCTAATCTCAAGTAACTTTGGTACAAGTAATCTAGCACAACTAGTTTACTTGGGATCTATTGAACATTAATCAATCTGAACAACCACTTCAGTCTGCTTCGTACTGTCTACTTCGTACAAGCCCACGCTGGAGCAGCCCAAAGAACACGGTACAGGAACACAGTGTGTGAACAGACCTGTCGATGCCAGCTGCGGAGTATAACACACTGACATAACTCTTAACGATGCAGAATAATACATTGATATCTTCGATGGTGCTGTTCTTGCTCCAAGATCTCGCATATCTCAATGTACTCAAGTTGTTGTACGAAGTAGATTACTTCGTAAATGGCGGAAACTAGGGCATAACATGACTTAATGGCTTGACGAAGAAGTCGATGATTGCTGTCTTCTAGCATATCGTGGACAAGGACTTGTACACATGACGGAATGCTTGCATTAATGACTCGTGCTGCAGGGCTTGGCCAGGCGGACTGAGCAGCCAGGGTCCATTGACTCCATTGTTCAGCACTAAATGTTGACAGTTGCACCCGCTTACCGAGAGTCGCAACGCTAATCTTCGGCTTGACAGGGGTTTTCCCAGCTGTCAGGGAGCATCTTGAGGGCTTAATTTAACCTAAGCGCACTATCCTATGTACTTGTAATTTGTCCTCGGAGGTCGTTTGAACATGATGAAGTACCTCAGCTCCTTCGAAAAGTATTCCTTGAGGACAGCCGTCATGTCCTTTTCTTGACATGATGTTCAAATATTACCGTCTTGTCTGATGTTCATGGTCAGGGTCGGCTTGCCGTATGATATCATTGACTGGTTGGTTGCCTACCTAGAAACTAGCCTCTCAATGAGACTGTCTCTGAGGGCATGACTCGGCAAGAAGAAACAAGTCCCAATCTCCTGGTTCGGAGATTATAAAGTAGGAAGCGGAAGGATGGAGTACACTTTGCGGGCAAGTGGGCAAGTGGCCAAATTGATACTTTTGTTTCTAATTGTTCAAGACTATGAAAGGGAAGATTCGTGCTATAATTGCAAATGTACCGCGCCAGTACTAATTTACCTAGCTTTACGCTAAAAACTACATAAAAGCAACCTACCGTTTACTGCCGTCCTGGGTGAGGCGAGCGGGAGCAGTCGAGCACAGAGCCTGCCTCTGTCTTCAGCCCGGTCATCGACAGCGACCCTGGACAGCTGTAATCTCAGAGGTGGCAACGCACCGGCAGAGGGCAGGGGGCAGGAAAAAGACGGGGAGACTTTTGTTTCCGCGTCGCCTTGATTCTTCGATTCTCGAAGCTGCCTGCCGGGGAGAGAATGAGGGCGGACAGACCTGAGGAGGCCGCCGCTTTAAGGCATAGTTTTTGTCCACCCACTCGTACACTGAGAACTAAATCCTAGTGTATGCAGAGATCTATCTGACCCCCGCGGTGCGGGTTGTCCGAAAGCACTTGGAAGCATATTAGAGCCTTCTTCTTTTCCTGCTAGAGGAAAAATGTTTGCTAGAACATCGTTCCATTTTCAATCCTGGCATCCTCTTGTTCCTGTCCGCCCGCGGCTTTGGTTCCTTGGTCCCTTTTCGGCCGGGACAAGGTCTAGGCCTGCCAGCCTGGACCCGGGCCCCGGCGACATCCTGGAAACGCGACATTGATCAAAATTGAACCCGCCCCTTTGACCGCCAAGATCCTTGGAAAACAAAAAAGAAAGAAAAAAAAAAAAAGAGCAAAAAGAAGCAACACAGGGGGGCAAGAGAATCGAATCGGCACTTAGTGATATATACTAATAATACTACCTTGTTTTCGCCGTTGCATGCTGTCATCAGCAAACTAAACTAAACTCAACCCTGTGAATCTTAACCCGGGGTTGAAAAATCCGTTGTTTGGTTCTTCCGGGTTTCGTATCCCATGAACCATAAAGAAAAGGGGGAAAGGAAACCTCTGCGCGTCTTAATCTTTCGTTCAACTGATTCATTCATCGGTTTCACCACGGAGAGCGGGCAGCATTTGTTCCTTTCTTTCGTCTTCTCGACCTCCACGAAATCTCAGACTCGACTGGACCTGCCAAAACCTCTCGGCCTGCTAGATTCGTAGACCGAATCCGAATTTCGACTCCGACGAGACGCTTCACGAAGCAAGGAAGAGGCAACATCTTCATCAGCTCGGGGTAATGTTTGAAAGAAACTGGTAGGAACGGGTCCGGACTCCTTCGTATCCAGACGCAGACGGAGACGCAGACGCAGACGCAGATGCAGACAGTTCCCACCTGTATATGTCGATATCAACCGCGAAATAAGTTCCCGAGTTTTTGGAGCCGGACCCGCTTCGCTTTCCCCCTTCAAGTTCCGATCCCACCCCGGTCTCGTTCGATTCTCTTCCTTTGTTATTTTATTTTTTATTATTGTCAATTTTCTTTCTCTCGCTATCTCTTGTCCGGTTTGACTGACTCTCCTTTTGGGGGAGGAGGAATGAACAACGGCGGGAGAGACGGGAAGAGTAAAGCCGTTTCTGGAGGGTTGTTTTATTTCAATTTTCCATGGTTTTGAACTACCCACTAGCAGTGTAGTAGTAGCTTGAAGCAATTCAAGCCAACAAACCAACACGAGCGAGCCAGCGAAAAATAGGGCACAGCTGAAATGACGTCGGATATGACCGACGAAGCCCGGGCTCAGGCTCGCACCCGCGCCCTCACACTCACCCTCCTCTCGCACAGGATGTCGGAGGGCAGCTCATCTCAAACCACGTCGCAAGCGCGTCAATCAGACACCCCACGTTCCCTCTTCGACCATGATTCCTCCAACTTTCTCCTCTCCCCGGCCCTGTCGGTAACCACGGTCAACTCGAGACCCGTGTCTACCATTTCGTGTCTCCCGTCGCCGACCTTTCGCGATTCCGTCATCTCCATCCTCGACGATCCTTTCTTCCAGAAGCTGCGTGACGTCGGCGCGCACCACTCGGACCACCACTACGACGAGGAGGACGACGCAGACGCAGCAGGCCGAATCGGAATAGAGCAGACGATTTCCGGCAACGCTGCCGCCGACAAGCTTGCCGTCTCGGATGAGGAGGCCCCGCCGCTCTGGAACCAGCAGCAGCACCAGCACGAGCACGAGCACCAGTACCAACAGTACGAACAGCACGCGCCACAGCAAGGGGTCGGAATTGGAACTTGTAACAGTGGTGAGGTCCACCTGCTTCGAAACGCCAACTCTATCCTCGACGCACTCGACCTCGTTGTCGACCACCAGAGCAGCGACGAAGAGGACTTCGACGACGAGCAGCCCGTAACCAAACTGTCGCTTCCTCACCTTGCACACGGACACGGACACCATCGCCCGCACCCTCACGCCCCTGATGCGAATGTTCCGGATCAACCATACAAGCGGCCGCCGCCTCGTCGAGAGTCTATGACCATCGGGGTTTTCCAATCTGCCACAATCGCAGGTCCACTTCGGGTATGTCCATGTACACTTAGCGCTATTTTTCCCTCTTTCCTTTCTCTCTCTCTCTCTTTTTCCCACGCTCTATTTTCTGGCCCCATCAAATCAACCAATTTGAACACATTTGCACCCGCCTGGCTCCACCATCCGCCACGAGGCAGGCACGACCACTGGTCTCCAACTTCGCGCTACCCCGCATACCCGAAATCCTTCCCATTAACTCCATCGACGCCGTCGCTTCGTGTTCCCTTTTCCTCGGGACCTGTCATGTTCCCAAACCTAGAAATGCATCAACTTGAATTGATTCCATCCTCAAACCGCATCTGACCGACCTTCCATTCTTGGAGTGGGGGGATCCTCCTTGTTTCCTTTCATTCTTCCCATCTGATTTCCTTTCTCGCATCTCTTTCGCTTGTCCAGATCTCTCCTTTATTTCCTCTGTCAAATGCCACGTCTCGATTCCGCCGTTGCGCTGTCCCCTCGATCCTCGGCCACCCGAAGATGGTGTGCATAACTGACGAGAGCCTCTCCGCATCTCCCTCCAGAGCCACCCGACCTCGTATACCAATCCCAACCTCCATTCTAATACCAATACCGATCCAAATCCCGCCATGGAAGCCCTCAACATAGCCATCATCGGCGCCCGCGGCGTTGGCAAGTCGTCCTTCGTCCAGCGCGTCCTCGGCCTGTCGCGCCCGCCCATCTCTAACTCGTCGAATCTCCGCATGATCATCGATAACCAAAACTACGCCGTGACCCTCCTCGAGCTCGACCTGGAACACTTTGACATGGCACCTTCGCAGCCCATACAGTGGCCCAAGCAGATGAACGGGCACATCTTGCCGCGAGTCGATGGAGCCTTGATCTTGTACGATGTTACGAATAAGGAGACGATAATGGATTTGCCGAGGACGTTGGGTAAATACGATCTTCCTTTTCGTGTCTCCCCCTTTCCATCTTCTCCTTGCATCTTATCCCCTTGCTTTTCCACTCCCCTCCCCCCTTTTATATTCTTGGCCTTGTGATCATGTTTGCGTCCCATAATTTGTCTCCCCTCCCTATAGGCGAGGCCCTATAACTCTCGTTTCGGCAGCGATTGGCCTAAGCTGGAATGGGAGGGGTGGTGAACACCCCCGGACTCGCGCCCGCACACCCGCCCCATGGATCATTCATGCTCCACCTGAACGTTTGGCTTTGTTGCAGATCACTAATATTAGAATTTGCCTGCCCGCTGCTATAGCTGCCCTTACAAACTCGGGGCTGCCGTCCATTCTCGTCGCGTGCAAATGTGATGCGTCAGAGAATGCAAGGCAGGTCGACGCCGACGGCATGGCCAATCACGATCTTTTCAAGGCTTGTGTGGCCAACTACAACATCTCCTCTAATAAACCTGAACATTCTCGTGCATGCCTCAACACTATTCTCCGCACAGTAATCTCAAATCGCAAGGGTAAGTTCCATTACCAATGATCGTCCCCCCCGGCTAATGGCTGTTCCCTCCACATGGTCCCGGCTTTTTTTTTTCCTCTCCTTGTGCCACATACGTCTTAGACCGCCTCAGAAAAAAATTGGAAGAAGACAAATAGAAAGAGAAAACGATAATATGATTCATTCCCCATTCCCTTACCCCACGATATAGGAGACAGAGAGAGAGAGAGAAGAGACCGCACGCGACCCCGAGAGAGAAGGAGAGAGAGAGACCAAAATAATTAACGCCGTGCCTTTTTTTCCATTCCGTAGGAGCAATCGCCGAGGCTGCAACATCACGTCGCCGCGCAGCATCAGTCGCCCAGCTCGACGCATCCTTCGATCCTACCGGCGGTAGACCGCATAGCCAACAGAGCAAGCACAGCCGCGCCAGCTCCGACCTGTCGCTCTTGCGTGGCTTCCCGAACCCTCCGATATCCGGCGAGCACTACCGCGGCGGCCACAACCAGGGGTCATCGCGCCACAGTCCGCGACTCGATTACTCCCCCTCGACGACGCCCTCGGGCACATTCGGGGGCGAGCCTGTGGATGGGGCGTCGCAGAGCGTGTCGAGCCAATTACGTACCCCGGGCATCAGGCTGGACCTGGCTGTCCACAATTCCTTTTTAGACATGGACGAGTCCGACGGCGAATCGTATCGATATTCCGACGACATACCCATCCTGCAGCGCAACGAGGATGGCCTCCTCCAGGAGAAGCCCGCCAAGATACCGGGCGTCAGCTTCGACGAGCTCGTGGACAGGCTGGTGGCACAGCGCATGACCAAGGCCGACCACAGCTTTTCCGACATATTCCTGTGTCTGTACCGGCAGTTCGCACCGCCGTCGCGACTGTTCTCGGCAATCCTCGACCGGCTGGACCGCGTGAGGGACGATAGAACGTCGCATTACCTGACCAAGACGGCGACGCAGCTGAGGATGATCGAGGTGGTGGCCAAGTGGGTCTCGCTGTACCCTGGAGATTTCGCGCGGCCGTCGACGAAGCGGAATCTACAGGAGTTTGTGAAACATCTGTCGACGGAGCCTATCTTCTTTACGTCTGCGCAGCAGATTCGGCGCTATCTCGAACGTAATGTAGTGGAGGACGACGATACGTGGTGGGCGAAATGCGATCCGGTTGAAGATCCCGCGAGTACTGCCGGGAAGGAGTCTTCGGCATCGCCTTCTTCCAACTCGTCCTCCTCGTCCTCATTGATGCAGGAGTCGTTTAGCGGCATTAGCAGTTTACGGCTCGACGACGACCCCATGGATAGCGGGGGCGGCGATCGCCGAGGATCCAGCGCCGTCTCGGGAGGCGGCTTCGGCCTCGACGGATCGGCCGTCAGCAACTTCGCTGGCCACAGCCAGATCCACCAGTACGAAGAGTACGAGCGACAAGCGTCGCGGCTCGAACCCTCGGATGGCCACCTGCCGATGAACAAGGCGCGGTACCACAGCTTCATGGCGATCCCGGACGAGGACGTGGCGGAGGAAATGACGCGCATCGACTGGATCATGTTCTCGTCGATCCGCATCCGCGACTTCGTGCGCCACGTGGCCCTCTCTTCGGAGGAGAAAGCGAGATGCCGCAGCCTCAAGAGCGTCAACCGCATGATCAACCACTTCAACCACGTGGCGAAATGGGTCGCCAACATGATCCTCCTGCGCGAGAAACCCAAGCACCGTGCGCAGATGCTCGAGAAGTTCATGAACGTCGCCATGCGGCTCCGCCAGCTCAACAACTACAACGGCTTAGCCGCCGTCCTAGCTGGCATCAACGGCACGGCCATCCACCGCCTAGCCCAGACCCGCGCCCTGATCCCCGCCGATGTGCAGAAGAACTTCGCGCGTCTCGTCATCCTCATGGGCACGCAGAAGAGCCATTTCGCATACCGGCTCGCGTGGGAGAATTCCCCCCTGCCCCGGATTCCCTTCATCCCCCTGCACCGGAGGGATCTAGTCTCGGCCGAGGAAGGGAGCAAGACGCTGGTGGGGCCCAAGGGCGATCGGATCAATTGGAAGAAGTTTGAGGTTTTGGGGGAGGTGTTGCTGCCGATTATGAAGAGTCAGGGGACGGCGTATGGGAAGTTGGGGAAGCATGTTAGTGCGAGAGAGTTGATTTTGGATTGTAGGATGCCGACGGATGAGGAGGTGGGTTTTTCCTTCTTCTTCTTCCTTTCTCCCCTTTCTTTTACGAGGACGAATTCCAGTGCTAACGATCTTCTTTGAATATAGGAGATTTACCAGAGGAGTATCCAGGTCGAGCCTCCAACTGGGGGACCTTCGGAGACGGGGAAGAAGAAGTTTCCCTGGTTCGCGAAGTAAGGGTGCTTTGGTATACTTTGTATCCGGCCACCTTTCCTCGACGACCTGTTTAGTGTTTTTCCCTCTCGATAGAGGCTTCGAGGGGCATTGAGGCGATTCTAGCCTGGTTTTTTACACAACGCGCTTATGCGACAACGTACCGAAGAGTGCCACCACGACGGTCCAGCACAGGTTTCCTTTTTTTTTTTTTTTTTTTTTTTTTTTTTTTGGGTTTATGTAGCCTCTGTTTTCTGTTACTCTTTTTGGGCGGCCCATCATTTGTCTTTACGAGGTTCTGAAATTTTCTTGGTTCTGTTTTATATATATACACTCTTCTCACGAGGGAGACACACAAAAATTTCTGGATACTTTTTTTTTGGAGGAATTTGGGAACAGATTAATCTTGGGGTTTTGTTTTGATATATATATATGCATTGGAACCTAGGACTGGGACCTCGGGGGCCAAGGAATAGGCTGGGATGGATGTTCTATTTTTGCATGAGGATTATGGATGTTGTGAGTGGGAGGGATGGGAGATATATATATTATATGGTTGGATAATGTTTGAGATGAGGAGAGAGGAATAAGGAGGGTCATGACAGTTGGAGATGATGAGAGACGAGAGAGAGAGGATAGGGGATTCGAGTCGAGGGCATTTATTGGAGGATTCATTGGTGATGCTGTAGCAGTTTAGAATATACCCCTTTAATAAGGATTGTGCGGTTTCGAAAGTTAGACTCTTTTGAAGATGATGCTGATCGGAGAAGATGGCTGTGGGTGCCAAAGGCGAATGGATCTGCGGATCTTTGTGCGAGATTCAACATCGTTATCTTGCTTCCTATCACGACCACTCGGGAACCGCGAGGAACCGAGCCTCTTCAGTTCAGCTAGGAATTTAGTCCCTGAGCGAGATGGACTACTTCGTAGAGATATACTAGTCTAGGCAAAACTAGTGGTTGTTGAGTAAGCCATCATCAATCATCATCGCTTACTGTAAGTATCTCGATAGTAAGACTTTTCACGATCTTGTCTTGCGCTTTGCGTGTGGTTGATATTTATATGTGCGTGTACGATAAGTGGCTCTGGGTAGTTTTTCTCTTCTCGAGGTTTTAGGGGTCTCGGAGGTGAAATAAATGTCCGAAGTAATGAACCAAGTCGCAGCTGAACCAGGTCGCAGCTGGCAACAATGGTCTTGGTATTATCGATGATACTTTGGCGACCACGAGGTTGGCCAGGCCAGGAACTACACTAGGAACTAGAGCTGCGAAGTAGAACCGAGTACGAATACATGGAGGGTTTCGAGTTGACCCTTGAGGAACGACTGTTTCGACAGGCATCAAATTTGATGTACTATAATCATCGAGTTCTACCATGATTACAATATGTTCCGTTTATACTATTCAATGGATAATAGATCGAGACTCATACCCGAGTACTTCGTAGACATCATCTGATACAATCTCATTCATCTGCTCCTCTTATTTCTTCAATTCTTCAATCTTCACGTGGGACAAACTAAGACGACAGGAAGCAGGTGTTCAGCCAAAACAGTCAGGCGCAACAGGACGGTGCAAAGTTACCAAGGTACCAGTACGGAGGAATGAAGACATGAGACCCTCCATCTCAAGTCCCTCTTTTCTTCTGACACAACAGAAGGAGCCCAACACTTGAACCATTTGAATCCAGCCGAATGTACAAGTATTGTGGAGATTTACGAGCTCCAAAAGACGTCATCAATCAGCGTTTTTCCCGTCCCACCCCTTCTTCTTTTACGCGGCAGAAAGAAGCGAGTCAGAAGCAGCTCGAGTTGTCAACTGCACCGTTCCTGCAGTCGACCTGATTAGCTTTCTTTTCCCCCTAATCATCCTCAATTCCTACCTGATCGTTTCATCTTCCTTGTCTCCTTCGTGTACAGGTAGTTTTGTCTTTTTGTCCTTTCTAAAACTTGGTGCCCAAGCAAGCTCTTGGGTTTTGGATCAATCGGGTAGGAGACCTGACCCTGCACCGACCTTATCTACAACGACGGTCCTAGATTCGCGCTCTCGCAGCTCCCGCCCAGCAAACCAAACCAAACCCGCTGGCAGAAGAAACGACGCCGCGACACTTGGAAAATCCGACGTCAAGAATGGGTGGCCAGCGAAACGGTGACGGGTTCCTGACGAGGGAGGAGAAAAGGCTGAAGGAGGACCGCGAGAAGGTCAAGTACTGGAAGAAGTGGGGACCTTACGTACCCGAGAGGCAATGGGGCACTGGTGAGCACAGATTGCCGTGGGAGCTCCGGGGAGGAACTGGGACACGGGCTGATTTTCTTTTTTTCTTCGTTGGTAGTTCGAGAGGATTATAGCGCGAATGGCGATGCGTGGGCGCGTAAGTAAAAGCATTCATTCCGGCTCCTTGGCGGCGGGCGGAAGAGAGTCGGGAGACCGAAGAGAGAGCTAACGAGACCTACGGGGATGATCAAAAGACTTTCCACATGACCATGCGCGATCTCGCACTTACCGATGGGGCGAGGATGGCATTGCTGGCGTTTCGGACACTCATACGCTTATGAATGTTGCATTTGCGTTTTGGAACGAAGAGGAGTGAGTGTCTGAGCTGCTTTCAGGGAGGCGGTTTCGGGGAGCTTCTTTCTGACGCTGTCTTTTTAGCGACTTTTTGAAGGAGCGGCTATTTGGGCTGTCGAATCCCCAGGGAAATCATGGTGAGAGTGTCAAGGAAGCCCACTTCCATGTTGACAATGTACCGGTAAGGGATTTCCCTTGCCCCCGGATCATGGTTATGGGGCCCTCGCTAACTGACATCGTCTTAGACTGTACGCAACACATCTCCCCTACCTGCGCTGCGGCTTTCCCTTTCTAACCTCCCATCTAGCACTCGTACATGAAATTCCTCTACAAGTACCCCCAGAAAAAGTTCCCTTACGAACAACTCATCCAAGAGAACGCCAAGCGCGGAAAAGAAGACCGAGAGTACCAGCTCTTCGACACTGGCATCTTCGACGAAGACAGGTACTGGGACATCTTCATCGAGACGGCTAAGGAGGACGACGACCCCGACGAGCTCCTCTTCCGGGTCACCGCCTGGAACCGCGGGCCCGACCCGGCCCCTCTCCACATCCTCCCTCATGTCTGGTTCCGGAACACCTGGGCATGGGGTAGGGACGTTCCCGAGAACAAACCCTCCATCGAGATGTACGCTGAAAGCATGGTCAAGACGAAGCACCACAAGCTCGGTGAGCGCTACGTCCTCATGTCGCCATCCCCGGGCGTCGGGTTGACGGGGAACGATGTGATTCCCGAGATGATATTTACCGATAATGACACGAACTTTGAGCTGCTTTATGAGGGCAAGAACCAGGTTCCGTACGTCAAGGATGCGTTTCATCGATATGTCGTGGACGGCGAGAAGGGGGCTGTTAATCCCGCGCAGGAGGGGACGAAGTGCGCGGCTTGGTTTACGTTTAATGAGGATGGGGGTGTGCTTCCCGGGGAGTGCGCTGGTAGGTCTCTAGATGGTATATCGCCTTTACTTTTTCTTCTCCTCTAACCTGCCCAGTCGTCCGATTCCGCCTCACGAAGAGAAACGATCCGTTCCTTGACGAGGAAGAGTTCGACAACATCATCGACAGGCGCAAGGAGGAAGCCGACGAGTTCTACTACAAAATCAGCCCCCTCCCCATCTCCGACGACCTACGCAACATCCAGCGGCAGGCCTTCTCTGGCATGTTGTGGTGCAAGAAGCACTACTACTTCGTCTACGACCAGTGGGCAAATGGCGATCCGACCCAGCCGCCCCCTCCCCGCGAGCGCAAGGCCGTCCGAAACATGCGGTGGAAACACATGCACTGCGACGACATCTTGTCGCTGCCCGACTCGTGGGAGTATCCGTTCTTTGCGGTATGGGATACGGCGTTTCATTGTATCACGCTTGCTATGATTGATCCGGAGTTTGCGAAGAAGCAGTTGGATTTGTTTACTAGGGAGTGGTATTGTCATCCTAATGGTCAGCTTCCTGCGTGAGTGTCTTCTTTCCTTTTTTTTTTTTTTCCCTTTCCTCCGCGATATCTCCACCACAAAGTGTTCGTTTCTGACTTACTACGTACAGCTATGAATGGGACTACGAGGACGTCAACCCCCCGGTGCACGCATGGGCTACCTTCCGCGTATTCAAGATAGAGCGGAAAATGCACGGTCGACAAGATCTAGACTTCCTCGAACGCGTGTTCCAGAAGCTGCTGATGAACTTTACCTGGTGGGTTAACCGAAAGGACATGGAAGGCAAGAATCTGTTCGAGGGAGGTTTCCTCGGCCTCGACAATATCGGCATCTTTAACCGCTCCGAGCCTCTTCCCACCGGCGGTGTCTTGGAGCAAGCCGACAGTACTGGCTGGATGGCATTCTACTGCCTGTGCATGCTCAATATCGCTCTCGAGTTGGCAAAGTATAGGCGGACATACGAAGATATCGCGTCCAAGTTCTTCGAGCACTTCATCTTCATCAGCGACGCCATGACGTTCCGGACTGGTCAAAAGGACGAAAAGTCTCTATGGAACGAAGAGGACGGCTTCTATTACGACGCGATATCCTGGGGCGGTCCCCACAACCAGCAGCTCCCCGTGCGATCGCTCGTCGGCCTGATCCCCCTCTACGCCACCCTGACGCTCGAGCCCGAGCTCGTCAACAAGCTCCCCTCGTTCAAGAGGAGAGTCGAGTGGTTCACCAAGAACAGGTGCGACATCGCCGAGCGAAACATGGCCAGCATCCGCAAACGCGGTAAAGGCAACCGCATCCTGCTCGCCATGGTGAGCAAGGACCGGCTCGAGAAGATCCTCCGCAAGATGCTCGACCCGGCCGAGTTCCTCTCCGACTACGGCGTCCGCTCGCTCTCCAAGTACCACAAGGACCACCCGTTCTCGATGAACGTCAACGGCCAGGACTTCCGTGTGTCATACGTGCCCGGGGACTCGGACAGTAACCTCTTCGGTGGGAATAGTAACTGGCGGGGGCCCATTTGGCTCTGCGTCAACTTCCTACTCGTCGAGGCGCTGCAGCGCTTCTACCTCTTCTATGGACCAGAGTTCCGCGTCGAGTGTCCCACGGGTAGCGGGGACTACATGCATCTGGGCCACGTCTCGGAGGAGCTGCAGCATCGGCTTCAGCACTTGTTTACGAGGAATGAGGACGGGAGGCGCAGTATGAATGGGGGGAACGATACTTATGACTTTGATCCGTACTGGAGGGATTATCTTTGGTTTTACGAGTTGTTCGATGGGGATTCTGGGAGAGGACTCGGAGCTACGCATCAGTGTGGATGGACGGGCCTCATCGCGAAGATGATTCACGATACAGGGTGAGTATATATTTTCTTCCCCTTCCCCCCACGTCCGCAACCCCTTACAAAAAAACTAACCCAATCCGCAACAGAATGTCCTGTCGCCTCCCCCAAACCCCACGCACCCCCGCCGTCGGCCTCGACCACTACTTCGACGAAGTTATCCGCCGCCCCTCCCTGAGCCTCACCACCTCCTCCAAACCCCACAAGCTCCGGCGCGCATCCACGGCCCGATCCATCGGCGCCCGAAGCGACTTTATCAACGACCAATCGGATGCCTCCCAATCCCAATCCCTGGTCGGGCTCGGCATCCGCGCTGACGACAACGACAACGGTGAAGTCGAGGAAGAAGAAGAGGGCCTTCCTTCGTCTTTTGCTTCGCCGACGACGGAGGTGGATCCCCGGTTGCATAGTTATGTGGCCGAGCAGCTGGAGCGGTATTCGGCGCTTTTGGGGGATGAGGCGGGGGGGATTGAGCAGTTGGAGGAGGAGTTTGAGGCTACGCCTTAGGACGGCGGGCCAGTTTGAATGGGGGGGCATTGTTTTGGAAAGATGGGGACACAGGGAGGGAATGGTACGGTGTGGGAGCGGTGAAGGGGGAGGGACGGGAGGAGGATCCGGGCGAATTGTGGGATGGGTATGAGGTTTGTGCTTGATGGGAGGAGTATTATTGGTTTGCGGACTTGGTAATTTTCTTACGGGGCGGGAAGAAGCATTTCTTGGGATGTAAGTTGTTTGCATTCGTACAAGTACAGGTTCTCTCACATGGATAGAAGGAACACGTCATATAAGGGAAATAAATCAAGACTTTTATTTTTTATTTTATTTTTAGGATCCAGTCGATGGCGCAATGTTTTTGAGGCCTTGGGGAAGGGTTCGGTAGATACACCGAGAATGGCGATGACCGAGATGACCGAGAGCTTTCTCCTTTCCTCGCCACGTCAGAGGAACCAATATTGCACGAATATCAAGGGAGAAAGGCGACGCCCATGAAATATTGATGCTATTGAAGTGATTCGTTCCCGTCTAAACTAAACCCGCCCAATCCATTTTTTTATCTATCCATCGAATCTATCCAAACGTGACAATGTCTATGCAGCCTCGAAATGCAAACAACCCACCTCTGAACAAGACAAAAAGAAAAGAAGAGAGAAAGAGAGAGAGAAGAGGGGGGGGGGGCAGAGAGGACAAAAAGAGCAGAGAGGACAAAAAGAAAGTAAGAAAAAATCCCCCAAAAATAGACAGAATGACATGACCTCAAGGCAAAACAAAATCTAATACTTGTCATGCCTATCTATATCTCTACCCGACACCTCCGCTTTAATAGTTCTTCTTTTTCATCTATGGTTGCAGAGATAAAAAGAGACAAAGATGCCAAAGGAAGGAAAAAAAGAGACCCAACTACGTTGCGCGCTTGTTCCAAGACGACCGTCCCCGGTCCCCCTTCTCACCCCGATAGTCGCTCCAGCAGAGGTTCTCCCGTATGGTATTCCCTTGATCTAATTGTTCATGGTTCACCCGCACGATGGACAGGGACTTCGAAGAATAGAATCGGGAAACAGGGACCTAGACTGGACTAGACGGGACTGGAATAAGGAGGACCGGTAGGCGCCCGGGACTGTTTTGCGCAGTGGACAGAAACTCTTGTGTCAAGGTTCCTTTTGAGTGCATAGTAAGAGAAGAGGAAAGAACGAAACGAAGAACACTGAAACCTAAAAAAAAGAACGATGCTAGACAGGATAATAACGACTACCGTCATCTGCCTTCAAACCCCCCTTCTTCCTCTGCAGAGTAAAGAAAAAAGGTGTCAACCATGCGCTCGTTTTTTTGTGGTTTCTTCTTTTTCCGTCGCTGTCCCGAAACGTTACCAAGGTGTAGCATTCAAGTCTCCAAATAACCAAAAAAAAGAAAACCGCCTCCCGTTTTTTTCTTCTTTACGCGTAGATATAAAAATCCTGTATGGGCAATAGTAAGGAAAACCCCCGGGAGAGCTGGTGACTCCCAAACGTTTATAATGCAGTCAGTCCGTGTCGTAGATTTTTCGGGGGCAAATTAACCCTCCGCAAATGAATCGATGTCGGGGGGAGGGGCGTAGTGAACTGTCGGTTGAGAATTCAACAGTGAGAGCCGATGGGGGTCTTAAAAAAAAATCCCAAGCGGGCAAGAACGGTGGCTGCCCAATCAGTACTGGAAGAGCACGCTTATTGACTCTCCATGGTGAGACCGTCGGATAGCTTCGGCCAAGATGGGGGAAATATCAAGCACCTCCAACTTGGGGCACAACCGGCGGTGCTCGTCTTGGGGCACCGAGTTAGTCACAACCATCTTGTCGATGGGTGAACGGTTGATACGGGCAATGGCGTCTCCGCTCATAACACCGTGAGTGAGCAGGGCGTAGATCTTCAGAGCTCCCTCCTTCTTCAAGAGCTTAGCGGCCCGCGTAATGGTGTTCGCAGTGTCGACGATATCGTCGACCAAGATGCAAACTCTGTTCTTGACGTCTCCTACCAACATCATAGTCGAGTTTCGATGCTCGCTAAACTTCGTAGGTCGTCGTTCCTGTGGAAAAAAAGTGATTGGTAAGTCTGGGGGAAGCGGTGTGCCGTCACGGCGAGGGGCAATTTACCTTATGGATGAGCGAGAAGTCCAAGCACAAAGCATCGGCAATGGCCGTGGCTCTCTTTGCACCTCCAGCGTCGGGACTAACAATAACTGCTTCCCTCCACTCGGGGATGGACTCCTTGATGTATCTCTGCAATGTGGGCTTGCCATACAGGTTGTCGAAAGGACAGTCGAGGAAGCCCTGATATTGAGGATCGTGAAGTTCCATGGAGATGACTGTTCTTTGGTTAGTCACAACGGGCCGAAAATGAGAGAGAGAAAAGAGAGAGCGCATGGGTAGGCTCACCATGGTCGGCACCAGAGCAAGTCAAGAGGTCGGCAACCAAAGTGCCGGCTTGAGCAATCCATTGCTTATAGCCGGGTCGTGGCTGGAAGCCGTTGATGTTGTTCTGGTTCTCGTAGTCGTGGGTGGTGTACCGGAACGGGGTGTTGGCGCCGGTATTGTTGCTGGTGTAGGAGCCATTGCCGTTCACATAGCCATTGGTCATGCCATTCTGGGCAGGGGTCGTGGGGCGTTCGGTCTTGGTGACAGCGCCGTTGGTAGCAGGCTCCTTTTCGTCGACGCCGTTCTGAATCTCGGCCAGCTTGGCGTTAGAGAGCTTTTGACTAAGACCGTCAACGCCGTTGATGGCCTTGTGGTTGAATTCCGGAGGAGTTCTAGACGCGCTAGGGCCGGGAGTCGGGGGGACACTATCAAAAGTGTCGTTGCGGGACAGCTTGGAAAGAGGGGCGCCGGCCTTCTTGTAAGGCACATCGGGCTGCCTAGAGTAAGGAAATAGCGGAATGACGGCTGTGATCTTCTTGGCGGAGCCGATCTTGCAGGCGGATATCATAATACAGAGCTCGATGAGGTGGTCATTGACATTCCCCGAGCCGGTTTGGATGATGTATACATCTTTTCCACGAACACTGTCTTGGATTTCACACCTGGACCAAAAAAAAAGTGGCGTAAGCACTCCTGTGACTCAACTCTTGGTCAATCTAGGTGGGATGTTACAAACCTTGTCTCGCCGCCCGAGAACTTGGTCAGAATGCGATTGCTAGCAGGGATGCCGAGAATATTGCAAATGTTCTCGACGAGTTGAGGGTGCGAATTGCCACCGAGCACGACGATATTGCGAACCATGGTGACTTCGACACTGGGGATAGCGCTTAGTTGGGTAAGGCGTGAGAAGAGGAAGAGGAATAAGTGGTCGAGAGAGTCAAGGAGACGTTGAGGTAGGGTTAGGAGAAAGAGGAAGAAGAACGGAGGCGTGTTTGTGAGCGCAATCGTGAACAATGAAGCGCGATTCTGTTGTAGAGAGGGGTGAGGAGGGGAATGAAAACGAGATGAGAAGATGAAAAGTTTCAAGGGTCGCGTGCGCACAAGGAATTGTCTGCTGGGTTCTTTTGCCAGACGTTGAGGATCGCAAAATAACAACAATTGAGTTCCAGATGCTCGCTCTCCTAGATTACCGCTATTCCTGCCGCAACTCTCTCCGAGGAGGTTGTTTTGGAGGGGGTGGGTGGTCAAGGATTGTGCTCGCGACTAGATTTTGCAAAGCCGAGTCAGTTCGCTTGTGCTTGAAGTTATACTGCTTTTGATAAACTTTTTTTTTCTGCCAGGTTATGCCGGAGAAATTTTTAGAGGGCGGTGAATGGCTGGAGCAAAGGCAGTGGAGTGCGAGGTAGTGAGGGCTCTAATGCTGCAGTCGGCCACTGGGATGGGAGAACCTACCAACCGAATCGGAACTTGCGGCCTGAGGGGAGGCTAGATGCCGAGGATAGGCGTATTGAGCGTAAAGGAATTTAAGTCTGGACCGGATGGAAATCGAGACGGGGAAAACGCTGTGAAAAGGGTATAGGCGGTTGTTGCGGCTGCTGTAAACAGTTCGTGCTCCGGGGCCGGAAGAAGCAAGGACGCTGAGCCGATCTGTGGCTAGTTTGTCGATTCGGGGCTATGACGAGTTGGTGCGCTGTGCAGCGTTCAACTACCGTGGAGGTTCCCTGTGCTCAGGAAAAAAAAAAAAGTGCGATGATTCAAACAAGGGACCCGGACTGGATGGATGCTGGAGCAGAGCGGACGATGGGACGGGAAGGAAAACGAAGATGGGGAGTGGAGAGTGTCTATGCCAAGAGCCTCAAAGAGGGCTAGAGAGCAGGATAGTCTAATAAGGGAGGCATGGGGAAGATTTTACTTCTTGATGAATGAATTGAAGAAAGGTGTAAGAGGAAGATGATTCCTGGTGGGGTGAAGAAATCGAGAGGCGAGGACAGTTTAATGTATAATTGCCTGGTACCGCGAAGGAAAAAAAATCTGGAAGCTGCCAGTGAGCAGTCAATGGTAAAGGGCAGGAGACACTACGGGGTACACTACTGCGGAGGGGTCCAGGCTACCGACCCAGGGAAACTTGGAAGGGAGAGCACATGCAGAGAGACAGAATACACCTGATGTTTAGGGTACATTAATAACCTTTGTAGCCTTTGTAGTGTACGAGGTACATAACATTTGGGGCATAGTGGGCTCCTGTGGGGGCGAGGCTAGTGTAATGGCAAGTATAGTACAAATGATTTCGTCATTGCCATTGGCAAGAAGAGGCGAGAAGGAGCGGGACAGCGCTTCCTAGTCCATCAAAATCGAAAAACTTACACGGCACTGCAAGCGAAGCCGGGATGTACAGGGTACGAGGAGGGGACGTACTAAGCCCGCGTCCTGGTCCATTCGAGGTTTCTGACTGTACTCTAGAGACCGCTTCATTGCTTCCTCTTGTTCGCCACAGGCTCCGCGTTGTACTAACGAACCTCTAGTTGGATGTAGAGAATACCTCACTTTCACTAGTATCGCATCTTCAGATCCTGTCAGTCTTCACGTGACCCCAAGAATAGCACTTGATGGTCACCAGACGTCTCCTAGTTTTCTTCTAACCTCGGGAGAAAAGTCGAGAGGATGGCGGGATTGGAGTCGAGAGCTTTACGTTTTGTGGGCAAGCGCATTGATTCGGATGCGCGGACATTGATGTAGGGGTGGCGGCCGATGTAGGAGCCTGGGGCTGGAAACAAGTGACACACACAAAGGAAATTTCTCGCGTCACTCCGCTTGAAATAATTACAGGGCGGGCCACCACAGGACAGCACGGAAACGGAACTTGGCAGCGGCTACGGTGGGAATGAGCTTCCGGTGCATTTTGCATTTCGCATTTTTACCGGGCTGGTTACAACATTGAACTTACCCCACACCCAACCAGAGTCGAGAGCAACCAACCCTTTTTCAACCGCCATCAAATGACACTTCAAATTGACATGTAATGAGTATTTTTGAGGCTTCGATGGCACGAGAAGTAGATGAATTGATGAATCCTTCTGAACATATCATGAAAGGAGGGGCTTGATGTTGACAAAGTAAGACGCGATGAGGCGTTAGTATAAGTTGGTCGCGCTCAGACAAGATTCGAAGCCGAAACTCTGGCAGATCCAGTCTGCGTGCGAGGTAGCCAGGCCTGGTTAGCGGTGCACGGAGTACATAGTGGGTTCCTTCCGTACAGGCTGCCTAGTGTTCTAGTGTTCCTGAAAGTTCCGACAATTCTGGGGACTCTGGACCCCAAATTAGAAGTTCAGAAGTGAAGAGCTGGTCGCTTTTCTTGGTTCGAACCATCATGGTAAGAGCAAGTAAGATTGCGTCTTCGGACCTAGTACATTCCTATTACATACAGACAGTGCAGACGACAACCAAACATTGACTCTGGTACTCTTTCCCAACTGTCGATGTACGATGTATGGGACAATGGATTGGTCGGTGCTTGGGTTTAACGAAGTAATTATACCTCAATGATGTGAGGCAGGAACGAGTCCCTGCACAAGGGTCTAGACGGCAGGACTCGAGAAGAGAAGACTGCAGCAAACCGGAGGAGAGAACATAATCAAGGTTTGGTCTCGCTTCAATCTCACTCACTCATGCCACTGTATGCATGACAAATGGAAATGAACGCAAACAATGATCTAATCTCGCGACGGGAGAACGTAGAACTACTACAAGCGCACTATTATGTTCTGCAGATGTTCACCAATGTGCCCTCTCTATCCGTATTGCTTGTGATGATGGAAGCTGCCAAACGGGTATATTAGCGGTGAACTGCTTGACAGTGGATGTACAATGACTTGATGGTGTGATTTCGTTGGACACAGCACAAGCACAGATTGACTTCGTACAGAAGAGTCAATCGAAAAAGAGAAGTGGGGTGGTGTGGCAGAATTTAAAGCTTGGTCTCACCGCCTTATTTTCGATCTCGGAAGTACGAGCGGCTCCATGGACGGACCAGTCCAGTTCTCTAATAAGATTGCCTGCATTACAAACAGATATTCGCGTACCCACAACTGCCTGCAACAAAAGATCAAGAAAAAACCCATCTCCCGTCTCGGAAAAGTCACCACTGGTGGGTTAGCACTTGGCCTAGATCTCGGTCCATTTTGGTCGCGTGTACACTACGAAGTAAACTACGAAGTAAGAAGGAGCAGTTGCTGAAGGGGACGGGCACCGGCTTAATACACTACTTCGTACTTCGTACTTGTAGGATGTCGTTGGTGAGACATGCAACTTCCATTTCCGCGCTTCCTGTCAATCTGGCAGGCACCTGAACGGTCCAAACTTTACACATTGAAGGGTCCTCCTTCCAGCTAGGCTTGTGACGCCCGGCTAGAGTGGAAAGTTCACGGTTGTAATTGTGCATCATTCTTCCCGATCGGCGATTACTAACAAACAAGGGGAAATTCAATCTCCAGCTTTGAGCTTGATCCAGCTCTGTTCCCCTCCGGCAAAACCTAGCCCGCATTCGAGCCTCCCGTACACCACACACTCACCTGCAAACGGCTGGTTCATTCAATCAACTGACACCTTCCATCTGCGCTTTTCCGAGTTTAGCGGCGTTTATTTCACTCTTCCCCTCCATTATCCCCTCATTTTTCTCTCCACCCACTCGCAGGTTCGCTGGCAAGGCTCTCGGCATCTATCAAAGGACTCGAAGGATCAAAGGCTAGAGTAACAGGCCGGAGCCATGAAAATCCTCGAGGCCCAGAATGCCGTCTTGACCAATTATGAGGTCTATAGGCACCTTACCGAGCAAAGAGAGAGATATGCCCAGGAGAAACGCCGCGGGCCTCCTAACTTAGAGACTGTAGTACGAGAGGTGAGTTCAGCTGAAGGGGGAAGGGAGAAAATCCCTTTCGAAAATTTTCTGTTCTCATCATGCTCGGCGTCCAATTCCACACTGCCCCTCGGTCCCAAACCCCACATTCACATTTATTACCCCACGGTGTGGCCCAAGCATTTGATGAATTTCAGGCCCTTCTAAAAAAAGAAAGAGAAAAGGAAAGAAATTATGGCCAAGAAGGCATCAAAAATCAGGCGAAAAGAAGAAAGAAAAATGGACGGACCACAAGATCGGGTTTGCCACTTTGTCGGCACTCCCCGCCCCATGCCCTTCAAAGCCCTGGTTCTTCCTCAGCTCCTCGCGGTAATGCACGCCACTAACTCGTGCCTGCCGTCCTATTTCGGCTCGGTTCGCCCCCCATCTAGATCCTTCAGTACTTTCGCTCACCACCCAACCCGCTGAGCCAGAACCCCATCACCTATACGCCGGAATGCATAGCCCAACTCCTCGAGAGCCTCCGACCCTACAGCTTCTCCAAGGCTGAGGTCATTATGCTCTTCAACCTGCGACCGCAGTCCGTCGCAAACTTAAACACTAGCATTGAAGATCTCGAGGATCGTTTCACCATGGAGCAACAAGAGGCCATAATCGACATTATCGTCAGTGTCCTGGGCAAGTTCGAGTCGAGTGAAGATCAGCCCGCCGAGGGAGATGTCTCCATGACCAACGGCGAGTCTTGAGCGGGCAGAAAATCTCCGGCATGTGTCGGATATAATGTTGTCCGTAACACCTTATAATATGCAGCATCCCCCTTCGCTCTGCCCGCCTTCCGTCGTCCTCGTCATGAGCGCCGTCTTGCAGATCTCCTCGAACGCGAGGCCCACCAGTTCTCCAGTTACGGCAGAGCACTCCATGTACTTGTCAGCCCTTAGCTCCTGGGCAACCCTGTACCCCTCTTGTGGGTAGATGATGCCGTTGGGATCGTCTTCTGAGCGCAGGTCCCTCTTGAGGCCGAGGATGAGGAAGGGAACGGTGTCTCTGTTGGCAAAGGTCATCTTGACATCCGTGATCCACTAATGCCACAAGGTTAGGAAAGGGGGAAACAAAGCGAAGGAACGGGGAAATTATGAAGAGCTTTTGACAGTGAAATCTTCAATACATACAAATCGCTTCATGTTAATGAGACTCAATCTCTGGCTTATGTCGTAGCAGAGAACGACAACGTCCGGATCCAGCGTCTTCCAATTGTCCGGGCCCGACGAGTCACGGAACTCTAGCCGGAACCGATATGGCCCCCGGTTAACCTCAAAGATGAAGGGTTGATCTATATCCCTTAAAATCGTAAAGTCGCCCGTCTTATCCTTGGAGCTCACCCGGCTACACGTTCACATTGTTAGAACTATCTTCTTTTTTCTTTATTGATGTATATGGACATTTGGAAGAAGACCTACGAGATGAAGGTCGTCTTGCCGCATCTGGTGTCCCCCACCAAGACGATCGAAATTGGTATCTCGGCCATCTTTTGATATCAGGAACAATTGGGAACAATTCAAGAGGTAGCAATCACTTTCATTGACAACGTTTTGTGTTTCCCTCTTTCTCCATCCCCTATTCAAACGCTACACTGAAGTGTGTATACAGCTACATCTCAAAAAGAAGACGTCAACCTCCTTTTTGTATAAACTTTCTTATCGCTCCTTTCTCCGTAATCGCCAACTGATAACAACTCCAAACCAATTCTCAGTTGTCACTATCTCTAAGAAGTCAGGGGGCCAAGTACCTTTGACATGGGCTCCTCTTTTTTTCCTAGGTACGACTACTTACATAAGTCCATCCACAAAACCCATTTAGGTTAAACATTTCTCCGGTCAGCGGGCCACACAGTATGGATTTCGCGAATTCTTACCTCCCCTCATCACACTGAAAAATCTCCAAGCCAGGCATCAAGAGGGTGTGAGTAATATGAAGATGATTTAAAGGAGCACGAAAGGTCTTATGAACATCGTCCGCCCGAGTCCCTACTTGAGGGCATCTTCACCTCTCCGGACCGTAAACACAAACGCGCGGAGAACGCGACCCGGAAATATCCATCTCCACAAAGACGCCCCAAGACTCTTATTATTCGCGGCGCATCTTAGCAGCACCGTTGGCAGGCGCAAGGAGATCGGATCAAACGCCCTCGCTAAACCGCTCAATATGGCAGACCTAGCGGCCAAGTACCAAAGGTGGACGCGGACAGATCTCCTCGACCGGCTCAACTTGTTGGAAAATGAACTCAAGCGGCGCAATATTGATGTTGACGCCGAGCTGCGCGCTGCGGCGGAAGCAGCAGAAGCAGAAGCCGCGGCAAAAGCAGCAGCAGCAGCAGCAGTGGTCTCTACTGCCGAAGGAGGAGAGGGAGTTCTAGCCAAGGCTAAAAAGCCAAAGAGGCCCACGGACATCGATCCCTCACGGTACAGCACGCGCTTCATCGCGCTGAAACTGGCATACCTGGGGAAAAACTATGCCGGATTCGAGTTCCAGACGTCTGCGGAGCTGCCGACGATAGAGGAGGAGCTTTGGAAGGCGCTCGTTACGGCGCGGTTGATCTATCCCAAGGATAAGGCCGTGATCGATTTTTCTTGCTGCGATTATGCAAAGTGTGGGAGGACAGATAAGGGAGTTAGCGCGTTTGGGCAAGTTGTTTCTTTGAGGGTGAGGAGTAATCGGCCATTGCCCAAGACATCCTCAGTGGTAGAAAGGGTAGTCGGAGAAGGAGAGGAAGCCGGCGAAGCGAAGCAAGAAGAAACAAAAGAAGAACGACCGTTCGACGACGTCAAAGACGAACTAAACTACACAACCCTCCTCAACAAACTCCTACCCCCAGACATCCGCATCCTCGCCTGGTGCCCCTCCCCACCACCGGGCTTCAGTGCCCGCTTCTCCTGCCGCGAGCGCCAATACCGCTACTTCTTCACGCAACCCTCCTTCCTCCCCCTCCCATCGCAGTACAACCCCGTCGGCAGCAACGGCCGCCTCGACATCGAGACGATGCGCTCGGCAGCGCGTCTCTTCGTCGGCGTACACGATTTCCGCAACTTTTGCAAGGTCGACGCCGCGAAACAGATTACGAATTTCGAGCGCGAGATCTTCGATGCTGGTATTATCGAGGTGCCGGATGCGCGGGCGAATTTACCGTTCTTGGCTGGGCCGGCTATGCGTCGTGAGGGGGACGATGAGCTTCCGCTGCCGAAGACGTATGCGTTCGTCGTCAAGGGCTCGGCGTTCCTGTGGCACCAGATCCGGTGCATGGTTTCTATTCTCTTCCTTGTGGGCCAAGGTCTCGAGCCGGCGTCGATCATCTCTGACATGTTAGACGTGGAGAAGAATCCTAGTCGGACGACGTACATCATGGCGCACGATGTGCCCCTCGTCCTTTGGGACTGCGTTTTCCCCGAAGAAGACGACCCCGCGAGAAAGGACGCGCTGAACTGGGTGTATCCGAGCAAAGAGTGCGAAGGGGACTACTACGGCGCAATGGCTGTGCTCGACAGCTCCTGGACAACATGGCGCGAGAGGAAGATTGACGAAGTTCTCGCTGCGCAGTTGGCGGGCCGCATCGCCGGTGCAGATCCCCCCGAAGTGTGGAACGCGGGCGCCGCAGCCGAGCAGCTGGCAAAGGGAGGGCCCAGGAAGACGAAGGGAAAGGGACGGCCCGTGAAGCCCAAGGTGTTCGAGGGCGGGAATAATGGAAGGCTGATTGGTAGCTACGTGCCTGTGATGAAGCTGAAGAAGATGATGACGCCGGAGCAGGTGAATGATTTGTACGCTAAGAAGATGGGGTTTGCGAGCGCGGAGGAGATGAGGGGGACGGAGGGGTGGAGGAAGGCGATTAAGGATGCGCGGGCCAGTAAGAGGGCCAAGGCGGCGGAGGAGAGCTCAAACGCTTGAGCAGGATATAGATAAAAAGGATACCAAAAGGAAAATAGAGTATACATCACGGCCCATTTCTATGCCCTCTATGCAGTGGAAGATGACGACTTGATCAGGATCAAGATGGATCTTATGCTTTAAAATATGCTCCGGGTATCACGCAACGCAATGCCAAAACACACAGAGAAAAACACCAAAAAGCCCCCTCCCGTCCTACACCTTTCCATTAACAACGACATCCCCCTCGCCCTCAAACAAACAAGCCCTAATCCCCCTCCAAACCTTCAAAACCACCTCTTTCCCAGGCTTCAACCTCGGAAACAGCACAACCATATCCTCCTCCCCCTCCACCACAACAACAAGACAATACCTCACCCCGAACCCCACAAACACCTCGTTCACGAAAACGTCCCTGATCAGCTCCGTAGGTATGAATCGCGCCGCGCCGTCTCCCTGCGCCGGCCGAGTTTGGATACCGAGGCCCCGGAGGACCAGGACGGATTCTGTTGTGTATATCCTGCGGAAGGAGGCGATGCCCAGAATGGTCGCGATGATGACGAGGGCTGGTGTGGAGAGTTTGGTTGTTGCGCCGAGGATGAGGGTACCGAGCGGTGTCGAGGTGAAGAATTGGTGGACGAATGAGGGGAGAAAGTCGCTGTTGGATAACCGCGCTAAAGGTAATGTGACGGCGGATAGGAAGAGGAGGAGGCGCACGAGAAAGACGACCGTGTAGATGAGCGTCGTGGTGAGGCAAGGGGGAGGGCGCGTGGAGAGGGTGAATTCGACTGTTGTTGGGCTTGGACGCCGCGTCCGGAGACGCGGGCTCGTGGTGAGCATTCTGGGGGGTTTCTGTTCGTTCCGTTTCTTCGAGGAGAGAAAGGACTTTGACGGAATTATGGTCTAGATGTTCATGGCGCATCCAATTCGTGTGTTGGAAGTCGCCCCTGTCGCAACTCGAGAACGCGAGAGGTTTCAATGCCGCTTCTGATTTCCTCTCGTGAGTTGTCACGTGACGGTCCGTCGCCAGATGGCAAGACGGCATCTCCAGCTTGACGGGTGTGGGAGGTTGAACGATCAAGCTCTGTTCTGTCCGCTCACTTGGTTTCTACTATATTTCGGCTCGGACTCGTTGGTAGGCATCGTCTGTCTGTAAGAATAAAGCTTGAAGGACGAGCCCTCAGTACAAGCAGGCATGGATACGGGCGATATCAAAGCCCGAGGGGAGCTCTCGCTTCTTTGCAAGGACAAGCTAGCAAGAATACTAAGCAACACAGTCGAGATCCTTCAGACACAAACATTCAGAAGAAGACGTAGTTTTTCAGCTCTCTGATTTAAATTCTTCAAGATTTATTTCTTCCAGCAGTCAAAGGCCAATAGTAATCCCATTCTCCAGACAAAGCATAAGAACTTTCTGGGGTTTGGCGTCACTGTTTGCGAGGATGGCAAGGTACATCCATACCCGAGCCTGGTTACATACCGCGAAACAATTCCCCGAAATTCACCCTGACCCGTCATAGTAATATAAGTAACTTTTTGGCTCAAAATTACCGGCTGTAATGGTCAATCGGTAGAAGGCTTTCACAATTTCTCAAACCTTTCCCCACCCAAGTCCGTAAGATCCCCCCGGTTCGACGCCCAGCGCGAACGCTCGCGGTGGTCGCACACTCGATCGGGAAACCATCGATGCTGTCGCGCCCCTAAGCAATGGGGATGACCTTACTCCAGGGAGGCTTCACTCCGCAGAGACATCCCCACCGTCGCGTGGCGCGCTGGATTACGATCGCCGGGGGATTTGGGTGGGTGGGTTGAGATGGAGATGTCAACTCCATAATTTTTTTTTTTCTATTTTTTGAAGCTATCACCGTGAATCACCCACCAGAGAGGACCACCAATTTGGACGTATCAACAACTAACTTACCTGTCTCTTGGCGCCAAACCCCCTCCACCTAAGAATTATTTAGATTTTTTTTTTTTCTTTTGTTTCTTGCGAAGCTGTCATTCATTACTCGTACGCCATGCTCAATCTTGGCTCCCGTCTCAGCGCCGGATTCAGACGAGAACGGTTCATCTCCCTTCTACCAAGGACATCACCAGTGACAACCAAAGTCTTCAACATTAAAACCAAAAGTGCTTTTGCATATTAAAGTCCAAGGCTGACGGTACCTCTAACTACCCAATATCCGTCCCACCTATGAAGTAGAACCTCAAACCTCTTAACATCTCCATGGCCAACCGCCCTTCCCCTAAAACAGTCAAGTGAAGAAGAATCAAAAAAGAAGGGAATAAACCGCAAAAGAGAGAAGCAAAAGAGAAGAAGTGTCGAAGAAGAAAGAGAAAATAAAAATCGCAAAGAGGAAAACCCCAAGATCATAAACAAAGATGCCGCGGGGCAAACAATGTATAAAGGGGGGAACACCATGTGTATAACACTTTACTCCCCGGTTCTCTTTTTCTTTTTTTCCTTCTTCGCGTTGCGGTAAAACTCTTGCCCCCTGGAAACAAAATCTCCATCTCACCCATGCACTCTCGATTTTCATAGAAAACCCGGACCGAATACCTGCACAATCTTCCCTCGAGTCCGTTGTCTTAACTAGTTTGCCGATATCATAAAGCAGAAAAAAGAAAAAAAAAATGCAAAACCAAAATTCCCAAGATGGGGGAAGAAGAAGAAAGAAAAGAAGAAAAAATGGATCGTCAAGTCATGAAGAGAATCAACTTTGAGTTCTACTGTGAGCTGAGGGAGGGTCGCGAAGTGTACAATGTGTTGTTGCTCGGATCGCCGCGTCTGGTAGAGGCATTTCGACATCAAAGGGCAGAAGAAAATAAAGGATGATGAAAAAAATTGGTATCAAGTTCCACCCTTAAAAAAGAAACGCCCATGGCCATGCAAGAAATGGATAAAGTAAGGGATAAGTAATGAACGATTAAAACAAGTTCAAAAATATCAAGGGCAAGGCCGGGCTTGAAGAAGATGCAATTTTTTTGCTCATTTCGTTTCCCGGCTTTAGATCATCTCGTTCTTGTTGAGACCGGTGGGGAGAGAATTCGGGTCAAGAGGGTGCGCCATCATGCCCATTTGGGTGTACAGGCCTGGGGCTTGGATGCTCTCGTAGGGCGCAACTTCGGGGGACTTCTGAACACGCATGCTGTTGTCCTTTCGGGTCCTGCTGCCGGATCGGAGACGCTCGGTGGCCTTGGAGATTCGACCTGCGAGACTGCTGTCGGTGATGCTGCGACCGCGGCTGTGGCCCTTCAACGATGGAGGTGCTGGGGGAGGAAGGATGGGTACCGTGAGCTCGGTCGGTGGGACATGAATCGGTGCAGAAGGCGAAGGCGGCTCATCATCGTCCATGACAATCTCAATCATGCCCGACGCAAGCGCCGAGTTGGAAGACTGCTGCTGAAGTGCAAAAGGAAGAGGAGCAGGAGGTGGAGGAGGAGGCATCGCGAGGTGCTGGAATTCCTTCAGCAGCGGCGCAGAAGGTGGTGGTGGTGGTGGTGGTGGTGGGTGCTGAGTATCTTGGGATCCTCGTCGGGAGTAGGTGCGGCTATCCAGGGTCTCACCGGCGCCATGGGAGTCTCTACCCTTGCTTCTGATTGACTGATTCCTGCTCAGCGTACCCGACCGAGACGAGGTTCGATGGTTGGGCTTACCACCTAACGGTTCGTCGGGGATGGGCGCCGACATGCAGCGGGGGATCGGAGGGCGAGAAGGAGGCTGGTAAACCGTCGAGGGGAGCAGAGTAAGTCCTCCCACCTCAGGCTCCTTGTTGGGGGATTCCTGTCGCTTGATTTCGGCAGGAGCCTGATCCTCTTCGGCCTTCACTTGCACAAAGCTGGACGGGATCGGGGGGACTGCAGGAGGCGCGGAGACCTGGGACTGGCTGCTCGTGTCGATAACGAGCCTCATCGCCTTGGGCGTGGCAGGGAGGCCGATCTGGGGAGTGCCAAGTTTGCCCCGGCCGTACGGGCTCAGGTGGGGATCAGCTGTCTTGGCCCTGGGCGGCGAGATGGCATTGCTAGAAGAGGACATCTCGACAGCAGTGTAGCGTAGAGCGGGCGCGAGGTCTTTAGGGTGAGTGATCGGGCCGGCTTGGCTGTTCCTGGACAACTCCCTTCGTCGTTCCTCCAGCTCGCGTGCCGCCTGCTCCCTGCGTCGCTGTCGCTCCTCCTTCATGGCCTTCAGGTCTCCCGCGTGCTCAACCGAACCACCCCTCAAGTACGGAGCCGGACCGTTAAGATTGCTGGTGCTGTCCTTACGGGTACGGCTGCGTGAACGGTCCTGGCGGAGAGGGGCAGTGGTTGGAGTAACTAGTCCACGGCTTGTGCTCCTGTTGTGCTTCTCGCGGAATTTCTGCTGCGCTTCGATGGCCTTGAAATAGTCTTCCTCGTCCTCAGTATCATCAAGCTGCGGTGGCACTCCCGTCATGGGCTGTGGTGAGGTCGGAGACCTGATGCCCTCGAGACCAGGAGTCCTGCCTCGGGAATCCTGCAGAGAAGGTCGGCGCTCGGGGCTAGCCCGGCGACTTGCCCCCTTGTTAGAGCTTCGCGACTTGTTGCTCACCTTCCTGTGTCCAATCGGATCCGTGGCAGTTACGTCGGTATACTTGGCAGAACTTAGAACCACCAAGTCTTCGGGAGACATGGGAATGGGCGATGTGGGAGACCGCTTGCCGGGATACACCTTGATAGGAGTACGGCCACGCTCCAATGACGGTTCCCTTTGCGTTTGTCGCTCTCGGCTGCTCTCTCGTCCCCTGCCCGATTTCCGGAAGTCCGTGGCCGCATCGAGGCTGTGGATGTAGTCAGCGTGCCTCGATGCGCCAGTGCGCGTGCTCCGTGATGTTGATGCCGAAGTAACCGAACTAACCGAGCCAGGTCCCCGGCGTCGAGGCCAGTGGTACTTCGCAGACTGGGCCACCGCAGTATCCGGCGTGGGTCGCGCGTGGTCCACCGGCTCGATGTGAAGGTTAAGGCCTGTAGGCATCCTGTTGCGGGAACCGTTTCGACGATTGGTCATGTGCTGCTCCATCTTGCGAGTCACCGAAGCGTCTGGGGGCGGCATGTTATCGCGGGCATTCCGGAGACCATCCCTCATCATCATAGGACTAGCAGTATGAGCCCTAACAATGGACAATCCAAACGAGATGCTCTCCTCCTCTTCCGTGTCGTCCCTGTTAGCTCCGCCTGCAGACAGCTCGCCATTAGCCTCCCCGATTGCGGGGAGGGGTGCGCGGCTACTGTAAGCGGACGAAGCAAAAGACTTAACAGAGGTCGGCGTATTGAACGCACTCCTGTTCCCACGAACGACGGCTGTCATAGGATCCGCGTCGACGGCAGATTCCGCAATGGGTGTTACCCCGGCGGCGATAGGGGTCTGCCCGCCATCAGCCTGCGAAAAGAACTTGGCTGCCCTCCCGCCTCCGCCCTGCAGGTCGCCAAAGCTAGTGATGATTTTCAACGCTGAGTTCTTCCCGACCAGCCTTTGGGGGCCGCGGTTAAGACCTGGAGGCGACAGTGGTGGACTAAGAATCTCACCGATGCTGGCGGCCGCGTTCTGGAACGTAAGCTGGGCAGCAGATGGGGACGCCCAGGGCTCCGTCGATTCTTGGCCGCTGCAAGCAAAGCTAAAATTGAATATTAGTAAAAGCGAGGAAACCGAAGAGAATGAACAGGAGGAAAGGGGGAAGGCAGTCAATCCATGGAAAGACGTTCAATAAGTTACGTACCATCTGATTGCCAATTCGCGCTGTGAGTGGTGAATCGCCCACTCACCCCATTTCTTAATGATGGCGGCCTGTCGCTCCCAGACGGCGGGGAAGAAGAGACAAGTCAGGATGAGAGCCTCCATGTAGCGCTTGTGCGAGTTGTAGATCTCAATGGCATCGTTATGGTCGCCCATGCCAATCAGAATCGTGGCGGCAGCATGCACATCACCCTTCTCGAGCAGAGTGGTAACGTAGGCTCTGCCGATCTTGTGTTGGGCACCCTGCTGACGACCGATCCCACTGAGTGCCAACAGCATCCAATCCGACGAAGTCATAGACTCGGCGCCTCTGGTAATGATATCTTGGTCGATGATCCCCAACCACTTCGCTAACATAATTCGACTAGATGAGCCGCTGGGGTGGCGGCTCATCTCATCGGCAATGAGATCTTCAATCTCCTTGTGCCAGCCGAAAATAGTGCTAAGCATCTGGCGGCGGAGATCGTCGTTGGTGAGACGACCCTTATCCAGCGCGAATGGGGGCTTGTATGGGATATCGCTGAGCCGGCTCCGAGTGAACCTGAACAAGTCATCGACTCTGGTTTCCTCAGGGGCAGGTGAGCCGGTCTGGCCAACTTCGTTTCGCAGACGCGAGGGTCGCTGGTGAGACTTCGTCGAGATGCTGCTGAAAGAGCACTGGGAGTACAGATCTGATGGCTTGTAGCTACGTTGCTTCGACTTGAGGGAATCCCCGGCAGAGATGTAAGTATGTTCAGTGAGCCCGCGAGATCGGATGGATCCTCCTCCATACTGGTTGGGTGTGCGGGAGCCAGAAACCGTAGAATATCCGCTTTGAGATGAGAGCATGCTCCGGTTCTCGGCGCGCTCTTGCTGACTCTCATCCTGGCTGAAGCTCTGCTTAGAATAGTCATCATCGCTCTCCGAGACACCGACATCGCTGGGGTTAAAAGTGATCTCCGACTCCGAGGCAATGGTCGTCGCCTTTTCGTTTTCGAGCGAGACGGGTGGAGACGGAGGCAGGAGGTTTGCCGGGTGTTGAACATTAGCAACCATGATCGAGGGAGCGTTCAAGTCGAACTGTTGGACGGTGTTGTTGGCTCCCAAGGTGAACAGTGATGCGCCCGGACCGTAGACTGCAAGGCCACGAATATGCTCTAGAGTTGGAATCATATCATGAGTAACATGCTTGGTTCGCACATCCCAAGAAATGGTCTCCCTATATCAGCAATTGTTAGCTGGCTAGACGGGGCCTCGAAGGGGCGAGCAAGGGGGGAAACTTTGTCCTACATACAATTCAGAATATTGGATGATGCGCCCGTTCTTTGACCAGGCCATCCAATTAGGTCCAGGGCGGAATATTTCTGTTCGCTTAAGGGAGCGAACAACCTTGGCGGGCTCATGGGCGTTAAAGGACTTGGCCACGCTCCAGACCTTGAGATCACCTTCTTGGGTTTGAGATGCAAGCATGTCCGACTTTTGGCGAGAAGAGGAAGCGTGCCATTGCAGGGTAACAATTGGCGAAGGTGATCGAGACATCATTAGGTTATGAAGCACCGTAAAGCGCGGTTGCAGCGTGGCAACCAAGCACTGCCCATTTTGATATCTAGAGAGGAGAGAAGAGGGTTTAAGTTAGCTCTTAGCTGTCCCGGCTTACACCGCAGGTTCTCAGAAAGAGGCCCCAGCCCGGCCCAAGCACTCAATCACTCACCCTATTGCGAATGTTCTGCAATCGCCTGAAGGAGCCAGTGCTGTAACTGCAATTTGGTCGATTGTTCTAGAAGAGATATGCTCTTGTGTTCTCGGTTCGAACAGGATTATCGTTCCTTGCGAGTTTCCTGACCTGATTGTTAGCAGAGTTCTCGACTAACACCAAAATGAAAGGCCGGGATTAAAAAAAGAAAAGGGATAGGACGGGGACGTACCAAAAGCAACATTGCCGCTACGCATCCAAGCCGCAGCCGTGATATGCTCGTAAGAGGCGAACCGAGAAATTTCATCTCCAGTCATCAAGTCCCAAACAATCGCATTTTGTCCAGCATCGTAACTGACCACGAGACGTCCAGCTCCGCGCTCGCTTTGATTATCGACGGCTAATAGCTGGACCTCGTGGGAATGCCTCGCAAATCGGCGCTCGATGGTTAGGGTATCGTGGTGACAGCAGACGACCGAAGGACCCTGCGCGTAGAGGAACATTGATGCCGTCGCGGCGCATGGCTCGAAATACTTGGGAAGCGATGGCGGCTGCATTGCAAAGTCCGCCATCTCGGCAGTCCTGCCCCGGTTGGACGACCGGCCTGAGTGATGTGAGCCGGACCGTTGCCGGGAATTAGAAGACATGGCAGCGCTCATTTCGAATGGTATTTTTCGTCCGTCAACTCCCTTTATTTGACCCTAAGATTTCAACGTTCTGCGAACGTCATAGGTTCTATTAGTCGGCAGAGCGCATTTCGAGACGAGGTCATTCGCGCAACGTTGCTCAAAGGGATAAGTAGCTGGGCAGTGTGCTGTCCACTCCCAGGGAAAGGAAAAGATGAGGAAAGAGGGACAGCAATGCGCTTGCATTTTGTGCTAGGGGAGTACGAGCACATACATCTTAGATTTTGGCTTCGTCTGGACACGCCGCGTGCTGGTCGAGAAATTGTGGCGAAGCAAGGACGGGGCGGGAAGCTGCGCAGGACGAGCTTCAAATCATTACGAAGAGGCGCTCTGACGCCCGTTTCCGGTGCCGGCGAGGACGGAGAGGTGCAAGAAATAGAGTGTCTTTCTTCCCTATTCCAAGTTTTTCGGTGTATCGTTGCTCTACACTTTCTTGAGAATTCGGTCGGGGAGGCGTGGGTTAGGAATCGAAATCGACGTCGCTCGCTCGGATCGGAGTCGGAGTCGTCCGTAGTACAGGATCCGTGTGAGTGAATGGCTTGTGTGAAGGTGTAAGCTCTTGGTTCATTCACCTTGAGCAAATGGCCCAAGAGTAAGACCAACGGCGACGTAGTGACGGAAATAGGAAAGGCAGGAAGGGAAACGGAGTAAAAGAAGGGGGGGGAGGGAAAGGGAATAATATCGAGAAAGGACAGTAACCAAATCTCGGTTCCGGCCTCTTGTGCAGGCAATGAATGGGATGTGGCGGGAGAAGGGGGGAGGGACCAGTCGACCAGGGAGGCGCTGTAGACGCAGACGTGGATGGAGTAGCGGTACCAGGGTGTGTCTAACAGGTTTCCGGCGCTTCGTGGGACGGATCAATTGATAATAATAGGGCGGGGAAAGCGTGTCTCTGGGTATACCTGGAGTTTGCGAGATGCGTTGGCGCTCGACCCACAGCATTGAGCGGCGGGCTCTTCCACACACGACTCACCTTCTCGTATAAGAATACTCTCCTTCTTGCTTCTCTAGATGCGGTATCGCCCCTTTCTACACACTCACAGCCCAGACAGCTTGTACTACTGAGATGCAGAATCCTGGGTGATGCACAAGAACGCTGCAGAAGACGTGCGTCCAGGTACCTCGGAAGCGAGGAGCAGGCGAAAAGTACGAAGTGGTAGAACAATACGGAGTCTCCAGAAGGTTGGGACGGAAGCCGGACTGAACTAGGATTTAGTGGAGTTGCAGATCACTGCTTCGTAGAGCAGCGAAGAAATATAGAAGAGAGGAAAGCTGGACAAAATGGAATAATATAATGCTGAAAAGGGCAAAGAAGGGAAATAGGAGGCCAGATTTTACTCGATCTTGGGATTTGGATGGAGGGATGGGGAAAAGCGATCCGGTGATGGAGGAGTTGGTGTGGTAGTATGGAGGATGGAGGAAGGAGGAGATGGGCGTGTCCAATGTGCGTTTGACTGGTCTCGCCCATGGGTGTGAGTGTAAGTACAATCAAGCAGCATTGGGAGACGTAGTCAACGTCGAATGTGACTTGAAATAAGTGAAATGCGGTCACTACAGATACGGACCAACAGAACAGAGCCATGGGCTGGTGCAAGGAAGCTACTGTGCAGTAGTAATTATTTCATGGAATCCAAGCGTCCATTTACAAGCAGCTTGAGGTAGATACAAGAATGGGTCTTGGAGCTGGTGAAGATCTTGCAATACCGGCAAGTACAGGTACATCGGGGTAGGCTGGCAAATCCCGAGTCGCCGTGGTATCCACTACAAGGAATGTAGTATACATGATGTGTGTGTGAATGTGCATACGGGCCAAACCAGAACGTTTGTTCGTGGGGACAAGGGGCCAGGATCTCCGTATTGGCGCGTAATGGAAGGCGGGAACTGGCTGCTCTAGAGGTGGATCGAATCATCTCAGATCTCGTCGCTTGTCCGAGGACGAGTAAAATTAACCAGGGTATATATAATTCAAGCTAACGTGGCGGGGCTTTACTTAGAGGCCCTTCAAAACGGTGCGCGAAGCGTATCAAATGAAGTTGATTTGATGTATTCGTTTGAACCATGAAATTAAAGAAGGAGCATGTTTTCTTCGTATCGTCAAAATGGTGAATTTGAGGAAAGGGCGAGATACTTGAGTAATACTAACAGTACACACAATCATCACATCGGGAAGCATCCATGGGAACATGGGAACATGTGCGCAAGCATGATGGGCCAAATCGGCCGGGTTGCATGGACCAGTTGGCAGTCACCGACCAGGGTTGTAAAGTGCTCCGCTCTTGCAGTGCATACCGTGAGCGGTATAGCCTGTAAGACTAGAGGTAAACGTTCTGGTCCAATGTAGAGGGGGGAAGCGAACGAGAAGAACAGAGTCAACGTGAAAATGCCCCAGATTAAAGCGTGGGAACGGTCAAGCCACGACATGCCGAGCCCTTGATATGACACCAGCGGTCCTGGTTGGGTGCCATCATCATAGGCTGTTATTGCTGGGTGTAGAAAATAGATTATATCATTCAACAATGCGGTGCGAATTCAACAGGCGCGGTACCAGTACACAGGTACGAAGCATGAGTACGACGAACTCGAACACACTCAATTGATGCCTCAAACGAATTCGCATTGATACTAAACTAGTTCACTGGTGTACAGGTATCAATTTCCTCGATCTCTTTCGTAACCTGGAAGTCGCACCCCAAGCATCCGTTTGAGCCAACTTCGTAGCATCCTTTGCTGCGACTCGACGGGGAGCAAGGCATAGCGTACATCAATAATGTCCTAAAATTAGATTTTGGCTACTGCGAGCCTATTGTACATCAGCCATCGCGTCCGCCACTACCCAAACAAGCCATGAGATCAAGGGACCAGACATCAACGCAAACAGACATTGAACCAGAAGGAGAGAAAAAAACTCCAATCGACGACTAGGGTACCCTTACGGATGCTACATCACCAATCGCGTATTGGCGGGATCGAGAGGGGGAAAAAAATCTGTCCTTGGGGGCTATTTATTACGGACAATGTCCAAGCCCATCATCCCAGGCCAGCCGACCTGCAAAAATGGAACCATTATCTCGAAAGTGTGATGCCCTCTTAACCTGGTCGAGCCTTCTTGTATGAGCACTCGAAATATCTCAGCGACCGGGATAAAGTGGCATTATTTGACGGCATGAAGTACTAATACGGAAGAGAGGGAATAACGAGAAGAGATTGGAGGTCGATAGATCAATTGGAGGCTATCACATCGTCATGACATTAATCCGAAGAGTGAGAAAGGATTGATCTCCCGCTTCTTGTCGAGACAGTCTCGTGAGGTACCTGGTGAGCTCGCAGAGATCAAGTAAGAACGGAAGTACCTCATCCGTTCGGGGAAGCTCTGCTGTCCGCGCTCTGCTGTGTGGGAGTGTTAGAGGACAGGCCTGTAGTGTAATCGTACCTTACAGACCGGGATGGACCTGCCGTCCCAGTCACGGCCCAGTTTTAGACGTGACATTCGTGACTAGTGTGTGCAGTGGCACTTTGGCAGTACCCATCCCCATCCCCATCTGCGCAGTGGCTCATCGCACGACATGGCAAACGAACGGCCTGCTGTATGGGTTCGCCCCAAGTAGCGCAGTTATGCAATGACGGCATCGCGCCGCAATTGTGAGCGCCAATGTGAAGTGGTAACTGAATTCTCGACTCAAGAAAGAGAAAACGAACCCGCTTAAGCAGCAATGCCATTGTGTGCCCACTATACTCGGAACATCGAGGCCAAAAAAAAAGGAGGGGGACAATGACCAAGAGACGGGTAGCCGCGAGGAAGGAGCAAGTAAAAAAAGCTCGACGTCGGTTGGGCATCGGCCAGGTCAAGTGGACGGAGTGTGGTTGCGGAAGCGCCCAACCAGCTGTGGTCAAGGCACCTACGGCCCACGATTGGCTGCCTAACCTGCACCTACTTTCACAGCCCTGGCCAATCACAGCGTCTATCACTTTAACCAACAGGGATCTAATCGCCCGCTCCCGGCTCTTATTTGCTGCACCTATTGCCCCGGTCCCGCTCAGACTTTCCCTGCCACCAAGAAAAGAAAGCTCTCTCTTTCCTCAAATCTCTTGGCCTTTTGCAACCGGGTGAGTGCGATACGTGCGAAGTACCCTCCAAAGTACTTCGTAGCTCCCTTTACTCTTTCCGCTAGACCTTCCTTCCCGTTCTCTTCACACGGGACCCACTCGACACTTTTTAGCGGGAATCCTTCCTTTGCATCAAGAGACAGGGTCCTTTTTAGTGCGCCGTTTCACTCACTTACACATGCTCCCAAGTACTTCTGGCGAAAAAAAACCTTGAAGAGTGTACGAAGCACACGCAGACAGAAGTATCGAAGCGATGCGAATACTTCGTTTCATTCGTTCGTCCACTCCTTCCTTCAACGTTAGCGTAGATATTGAGCTAGCTCATGGTCAGCGCTGGAGCTGGAACAACTTCAAAGCCCTCGAACCTACTTCATAAACGGAAAGAGGCTGGGCTAACTCTAAGTTGGAGAAGTAACGGTCTGATGTCTAAATGACACGATTTTCACCAAGAAGCTATCAATTGACGCCGAATCTTGTGAATGCCATCTGCAAGTGACCTCGAGGGCGGTGACAACTCACACGCTCAACAATTCTGCGTATTAGAAAAGAAGAAGAGTCATAGACGACAAGATGGCAGGCGTTGAAGGCGATATTTAGACGCTTGCAGAGCTGAATGTCATCCAATGGCAGCGCCAAGCTGCGATTCGAATAAAGAATGGAACGATTTCGATATCTTTCGTCCCAATCCGTGTGGTCCGCTAAACCTGTCGGAGGGCAGTGCAACCCCCACGCATGAAAAAGCGAGTGCATCCGCTTGGAGACGGATGTTCCTGGATCCAGGACAACCAACAACATCGAGCTCCGTCTCTTGCCGAGTTGAATATTCTTCAATTGGGTTTCATGGGGCGAATATGCCGCAAAATGAACAT